TTTTAGTTGATAGACTCTTGAACCGAAGGCTCTCACGACAGATTTTGTTCGATTTTAGTTGATTCCAATGATTGAATCCAACCCATCAAACTAAGCCCGTATAACACTCATTTTCTGTGGATAATTATCGGTCGAAATAATTAAATTGTCCGGTTGGAAGTAATCGTTGAAAATGGAAGTTTGCATTAGTCCAATGTTTTGTAATCGGGTGCCAACTGCCGATGGTTTTCATGACACATCCTTTTTATTATTATTATTATTATTATTATTATAAAGTTTAGCGAGGGTTCGCACAGCAGAGGTCCTCATCAACACTCGGGGTATTCCGTTTACTATTACTTCGCGTGTTGTTTCGTTAGTCGGATTGTTCACTACAACTGCAGACTCCGTATGTGTGTAGACTGCAGACTCGGAGCATCAGATATTGCCCAGATGAAGAAGAAAAAGCAGAATATGTTATCCGTTGCAGGGCAAGCTACACAAGCTTATATCCTGCCCTTGGTTCATTTTTTGCAAGACTAATTCAATACTTAAGAGAAAATTAAAAGCCGGTCGTCTCAAATTTAGAGAGACTTGTGACTCATGTTGCCAGAGAAGCCTTGAACTACTGACAAAACGTTCAAAAGAATGAGAAAATTTGTATATGTGTTCATGGTAGCTTCAGGTATTTTAATGTTGAGCTACAAAGAGTTACGAAGAGATGTTTTTGATAAAAGAAGTAAGGAATACATAGAATAGTACAATCAATAAAGCATGAGAGTATATGCAATATGGATATTATCCATCAGATGCAACTTGTCACTTTCTTTATCGATAGATCTAGATTATTTTCTACCCCGATTATTTGGATTTCTTCCAGAGAACATAATTCACAAATAAAAAGACACGAAACATCTGTCTTTAATTATTGTTTCGCCAGAAGGCAGAACATTACAGGGTAAAAGTTTAAGATACGACCTCACATTATCGTCCTAATGGGTTTAACATTTACAGAACGAAGGTAATTGATATTGGAGAAATCTAGGGCATACTTGTGTCCAGGAATGTAAGGATTGATTCCTACATCTCGTCCCTGCCACACGTTTATTTTCCCAGAATAATAACAATTTAGTACAATTAAATTATATTTTAGGCAGGTTTATATAGGTTTAAACGAGATGCACTTTCTTCATATTAGGAAATAGTTCGAAAAAAAGTGCAATGCCATTTCCTTTTGTTTCGTGTGTGTAATAGTCCCAGAGGAGAATGCTCATTGCAAGTGCTTCCTCGAACACAATTTGTGTCGGAAAGAATGCCAATCGATAAAAAAAATACTGCAATATTTCTGGGTACAAATGGTGAATACTACCAAAACCCCTTCAAATTAGGATCAATTGGTATTAAATCAGGCTAGTATATTAGTAATAAGCCGTGATCGAAATAAAGAGCGGGAACAGGAGGAACTGTATGAAGAGATGAAGTAAGGGGCTTAACTAGGAGCACCCACATCGCCCTCGGCCCGATCACAACCATCTTTTTTTATTTTTTTTTTTAACGAGGGTTCGCAACAGCAGAGGTTATATCAACCCTCGGGGTGCCGGTGTTTTTGAAAAAAGCCCATTTGTAAGTATGTCGGATTCGAATGCAGGGCCGCTGGATTCGAACCCGGGACCTTTACCTTACAATGATGAGTGCCGTGTCAATGCCTAAACCGTTGTGGCCACTGATGCCCCACACAACCATCTTTAAGCCGAATTTTAACCATGAAACATGTCCACATGAAATAAATAGCAAACATTCTAAGGGTGCAACAATAACACTATCAGATAGCCAGAAGTTCTTCAAACCAACGAGATCAACTTAAAACTAATCCGAAATTATTTAAATACCCTAAAGCAACTGGGGTCTACAAATAGCCTGTTACCAAGTCAAGAGTCAGGCAACGAACCAGCAGAGACTTAGCTAATACGGGAGCCACGAAACAACAAACTTAAATTATGGCCATGTTAAAAGAGAACTGTTAAATTGGGGTGGGGTTATTGAAGAACACAACAAATACAAGTAGCCTAGGCGTCAGGAAGAAAGACTACTCGCCAAAACAACCCAATGGGGAAAAGATGAAATCATATCAACAGAGACAGAGATATATACTGCAAGTGCCCTGCAATAGTTAGGAAAAGGTTATGGTACTTAGGAAACCTAGATTATGCTACCTTGTTCATTATAGACTTAGATATCATACCCCTGAGAATGACTGTACTAAAAAGTACTACACGACCCTCGGGTCTTCCCAAAACCATCTTTCAAGTTTAATTGCTAGCCATAATAAAAACATGTCCAAATAATGAGCACCTCAGCGGCCCAAGCAGCCACCGGGCAGCTCTAAATTCTCTCTAAACCTACGAGATCAAAACTAACTTAGAACTGCCTAAATACCTTGAAAATCTACAAATAGCCTGAAGATAAAATCCCAGCTCATGAAGTAATTTCAGACACTGAATCAGCAGACATATTAGCCACAAATGGAGCCTTGGAACAATACCCAAAACCATTTTGTGGCATAAACTATGGCCACATTAAAAACTGGAATCTTGGATAACTAAAGAACACAACAAAGTATACCAGGCATTAGAAAAAGCAAAAAGATAATATTAAAAAAATTCCAAATGGAGAAAGAGGAAATCGTAAAGAGGAGTAGAAAGGTACTACAAACCCTACCAAGTATATTTACGCTCCAGTAACAACTTTAAAAATTGGACTATTAAAAGATGACTAATGTCGACTAAGTCTAGAGGAGGAGACATGGACAGTAGAACAAATCCTGCAATAGCTAGGAAAAAGCTATGATACCTAGGAAACCCATTCTTGTGGAATACAGACTTAGATACCAAACCCCTGAGAGAGTAGCTATACAAATGGCCCAAAGATACAGACTACAGATATGGGCAACGTGAACCATGAACACCACATAGCTCTCAGCCCCAACACAACCATCTTTAAGCCGAATGAATATTCCATAGAAAAATGTCCAGGACGAACACCTCAACAAGCAACAATAATACTATCATATACAGGCAGCTCTAAATGCTCTCCAAGCCCAAGAAATCAAAACTAACCTGGTACTGCCGAAAAATCCTAACAATTTACAAATAGCCTGAGGTACCACGTCATGGGGATTTCAGGCAACGAACCGGCTAAAAAGGGTGTCATGGAACAACGCCCAAAACTAATTTGTTACATCAATAATAGCAACATTAAAAAAGAACAGGAATCTATAAACCGTAAGAGGAATACAGGGCATGTTCCAATAACAAAAAAGGACTATTAACTGATGAATAATGTCGATTATGCTTAGAACAGACAGAGACAAAAGACCAATAGCTAGGAAAGGCTTAAGTTTAAATGCTATAGGTGTATATCTCCACTCAAAATGGATATGGCAAAACCTTTATAATCTCGGTTTGAAATGAGATCTATTTTTCTCTATAAAATCAGTGACTCGTCATGATCTAATTTGATGTTATATCATAATTTTTAATAACCACCTTATCTGCTGAGTTTCCGATATTAAACAACAGACTAATTACATCTATAAACCAAAATAGACATGTTTTTCAGAAAAATATAACATTTATTTATATTAGATGGTGCACTTATTTTAGCAGTTCCGTTGAGGGGAAGTTTACAAAACAAAGATTAAGTTTCCTTTGTGGTTTCAAATTATTTTCACGGATTTTTTTTAAATTTTACTACTTTTTGTAGCGATTAATAATAGTTTTTTACACAAGGACCTACAAATCTAATCAATATCTTACATCTACCGGTGAGTCACCAGTAAGGAATTATTTTTCTCTCTCTATTTTTACATCTAATTACACTTATGCTATGTTTTAAATCGGACTTGTTCAAACTGACTGACCAAATTAGAAAACCTGTGGGGGCTGTTTTTTTGCCTTCTGGGATGAAATTTCGAACGGCACAAAATCCAACCCATCAAACTAAAGCCTGTATAAATTTCAATTTCTGTAAATAATTGTCTACCTCGCACAGTCTCAGCCACATTTCGTTTAATTTTAGTTCATGAGCTCTGTTGAACCAAAGGTTCTCACGACAGATTTTGTTCAATTTTGATCGACTCTGTTTAATAGATATTTCGAAAGGCACAAAATCCAACCCATCAAACTAAGCCCGTAAACACTCATTTTCTGTGGATAATTATCGGTCGAAATAATTAAATTGTCCGGTTGGAAGTAATCGTTCAAAATGCAAGTTTGCATTAGTCCAATGTTTTGCAATCGGGTGCCAAAGAAGCATTCATTTCCATCCTTTTGTAACTACTTACAAATTGTTTGTTTCATTTATTTATTTATCTTTTACTGAAAACGATTGAAACAATTTTTTTAAAACTTTTTTTATGCCCAGTACGTGCATGAATTAAATAATCTATACCAGTTATAAAAATATATTTACTGAGAGATCAAGTATGAATGGTCCAAAGATTAAAAACTCAAAAACAAAATTGTTACACAAAATTAAAAAAAAAAAAATTTCCATCCAAACTTGAATTTTTCTTGACTCAAAAAAAAAAATTCACCAGTGGTTTGACCATTATGGCCCATTAAATCATAATGCTTTTGCCATCGTGTTTTATAAATATATCTTTTTTATGTGTTTAGAATATAACAGTGTAAAATGTTTCTGTGATGTTTTAGTGCTTAGATTGATCAGATGTGGTTGTGTTCACCCACCACTGGTGAGTCAGAAAGAATTATTTTAATATTGTCCCAATTGATCGTTAAATTTTTTTGTCAAAATATTTGGACTATTATGTTTAAAAGAAAGCCTAAAGGGAGAAAACCGAGCGAATTAAGCTCAGGAAATGTCAATTAGCCTTTTAAAAGCTTAAGCCGTGGGACGTTTTCCGTCGGCCGAATTAAAAGCTGATTCCTCATGGAATAAGTGTGAAGCACAAAGAAAAAAATAATAATTAAAAGAAAGTAGGATAAATCGTAAATACTCACGTAAAGAATAGGCAGAGTTGGTAAAGCCGATGAGTAAAATAAAACAGGTTAAGTAGTAACAAGTCATTTTCTTCATAGTTCCTAAATTCACAGTCTGCACTTTTATATTGGGGAAATCGTTGACGGCTTCATAAGTGAGAGACGCCGGCCAGGTTTTCCGATAGCGGAAAGTCGAATAAAAACGGGTAAACAAATGGTCATAAACGGTCGATTAGCTCCCGTTGGAAATGGATTTCCGGATCGGCCCGTACACCCGTAAATGGAAAAAAAAAGAAAATAAAAACCTAAAACGTAACTAAAACAAAGAAACGGGGTCTCTTTTGTCGAAATCCCGCCCTCGTGAAACAAGTCGAATGAGAGAAGCCGTTCGAAACGTTAATAAGACATTGTTTACGCCCAAATAGAACGAGCTCGGTCTACAACTCAACTGATAAACCAAAGAGATTCGAAATAATACCAACAACGCCCACTTTCGACCTACTAAAAAGGTAGCGCAGTAAATTTCCCACTTTTCCGTCAGACACTAGGATCTAGCCGTGGGTGAGGACGTCCCCTAAGTCCCGGCTTATTTTTTTAAGTAGCGATTTTGTCAAAATTGGCTATAATTTCGTTTGGGACGGAGTTTTCCCGTGAGAAATGGAAGCGTTGGACGATGACGGCGGCGGATCGATAGGGCTGTGCAATTCCCGCCAGAAGTGGCCTGTTTGAGATGAATTTTGAACGGACGTTCAACACCACAACATTATTTAATTTTTTATTTTATTTATTCATTTTAAAAGTGCAGATAGAACATGTACATACAGGGTGTTCGGCTACTCTTGTTACAAACTTTTCCAGTAGATTCTGCATTCAAAATGAAACCAAAAAGTCCTAATTAACTATGGCCCGAATCTCAACAGTTTCGAAATTATTCCCCTTTTTCTGATTTTTTTAAGATTTCACGTCTTTGTAGATGTGGATGAAGATGTAATTTCAGGGTATAATGTACTGCGCCCTTTAAGAGCTATTGTATCCCCCGTGCCTAAAGCACAACGGTGAGTCCTATTTCATCAAGAAATTTGATTAATAGGCCCGGTTTCAGAGGTTTAAGCTCTTCTATGGTCACATACATCCCAAAATATTTCCTCCTGCGGGCTAGTGTAGCTCCGCAGTTTGTTAGTAAATGTGTTCGTGCCTCTTCTGCCTCCATGCAGAATGTGCATGTGCCATCTTGGATTGTTCCAAATTTCTTTAAGTGTCCATTTAATTTGCAGTGTCCTGTTAGGAATCCTATTAGGATTCGCAGTCTGTGCCTGCTTCCTTTGACACATTCTGTAATTTCTTTCTTACCAAAATTGGTTAGAAGATTCTTGGGTTGTCTGTGTCCAATGAGTGAATTCCAAAGTTCCCTCTTTTTCTTTTTGTCCTTCTGTCTGAGATATTCGTTAATATTGTGGATTCCTATGCCACAGAAGGGTTCAGGTCCTAACATTCTACAGAGAGAGATTGTACATTCAAAATGGAACCAAAAAGTCCTAATTAACTATGGCCTGAATCTCAACAGTTTCGGAGTCATTCGCCTTTTTATGATTTTTTAAGATTTCACGTCTTTGCTTCAAATAAACAATGATAACACCAAAACTAAAAGATTTTTAGACAAATTCGGTTTGGTAAACAGAACTGTGAAATTTTTTTTTCTAAGTTGAAAACTTACTATGGTGATAAACTACTATTTCCAAACCTAGAGCCGAGTGAATTTCAGAAAACCTACTCCATTTAATATCCTTTTTAGTGTGTGGTATTTAGTGATCGTTAATTAATGATTATTTGGTGATCGTGAGTTGCGGTCTGGTGTGCTGTAGGTTTCAGAAAAACATTTTCTTTATCGTGCCAACGTTTCGATCTTTATTGAGATCATCTTCAGGGTCTGGGATTTATACATTTTTTCACATCTTACATGGATTTGTATAGTTTAAACAGTGTTTATAAATCCCAGGCCCTGAAGATGATCTCAATAAAGATCGAAACGTTGTCATGATAAAGAAAATGTTTTTCTAAACCTATGTTACATCAGACCGTATCTGATCTCCAGCATCTCCAAATAATCATCATTTTTAGTGGTGTAATTGCTTTTTTAATGACTTTTTCAAATATTAAGAAATTGATGAAAGAAAGGAAAAACCATGGTTGACGGATTAGTAAGGTGGAAAGATAGAAAAAAGTAGCCCTATGTTAACAAAAAATCACATAGGTACCTAAAATCTTAAAACTCTTTTATTCCAGGGACTAATAATACAATAATCCTTTAATCAAGTTTCCTTTAAGTTTTCCCAATCCTTTAAGTTCGAGTCGTGTTGATAAATAAGTAAACACTTGCACTATTTCGGTTTCGAACCCAAATTAAAAAACTTTTTATAAATTTATTGAAAATTTCCTAGTTTTTTTCCTTAATCTTTCCACCTTACCAATACGTCAACCACGGTTTTTTCCTTTCCTTGATCAGTTTCTTCATCTTCGAAAAAAGTAATTCAAAAAGCAATTGCACCACTAAAAAGCATATTAAATGGAATACGTTTTCTGAAATTTGGTCTCTACGTTGGAAATAGTAGTTTAGAATCACCGTTTTTCAAATTTGAAAGAAATTTTTTTTTTCAAATTCGCTAATTTCGTGGTCCGCTTGACCAATTGAAAAATGAATGACCAAATGAAAAAATGGCAAAAAGGAGGGAAAATTCAAAAGGTGCGGTTGAGATGGGAAGTTAGTGTCCGAGTGGATCGAGGTCACGATAGCTCAAGTGGTAGAGCAGCGGCGTATCTAGCCGAAGATCGTGGGTTCGAATCCCGCTCGTGCCATTGACTTTTTTATCTCAACTAAAAACCTTAATTAATTGTAATATATTAATTGGTCAAGCGGACCACGAAATTAGTGAATTTAATGATTTAAAATGAAGTATACTTCACTAAAGCTCTCCGTGGCCATTTCATTTGTCGTCGAGAATCCAATCCGATTACACGACATTTGAAAAATGGCAAAAAGGAGGGAAAATTCAAAAGGTGGAGTTGAGATGGGAAGTTAGGTTCCGAGTGGACCGAGGTCACGATAGCTCAAGTGGTAGAGCAGCGGCGTATCTAGCCGAAGATCGTGGGTTCGAATCCCACTCGTGCCATTGACTTTTTTATCTTAACTAAAAACCTTAATTAATTTTTTTTTTCAAAGTTATCGCTACTAAAACGCTTATTTCACGGACGTTTACAAGTTTAGTATTTATCACATCTTATTGGAAATTTAACGTAGTTTTTAATGGTATCAACAGATTGGTCCAAAACCTTTTCGTTTTGGAGTTATCATTGTTTATTTGAAACAAGGATGTGAAATCTAAAAAAATCATAAAAAGGCGAATAACTCCGAAACTGTTGAGATTCAGACCATAATTAATTAGAACTTTTTGGTCCCATTTTGAATGAAGAATCTCCTGGCAAAGTTTGTAACAGATTAGCCATACACCCTGTATATTAGAGATAAATTTAGTTTTATATACATAGTAAATTAATAACAGTAATAATAATATATTAATCCATTTATGTTTAGTGTACTAATCGACCATATTAATTATTTCAATTAATTATTCTTTTTATGTAAGGTCTTGTTTGAGGTAAAAAAGTTACTATCATGAGCAGGATTCGAAACTTCGGCTCAATATGCCGCTGGCCTAACCACTTGAGCTATGGTGACTTTGATCCACTCGGACACCAACTCCCCATCTCAACATACAACTGTTCGCATTTTCCCTCTTCTTGCCATATTTTCAAAAGAATAATTAATTGAAGTAATAATAATAATAAAACATAAAATATACAAAACAATAATGACATTAATATATTCTTTAAAATATTAATTATTTACAATCAAATGATGAAACCAGATTATGAAAGAAAAACAGAGAAAAAAAATGGGAAAAAGAAGAGAAGATTTGTGTCATTTTTAAAACCTCTGAAACCATGGAAGCAGAACGTTCTTCCTGGGGAAAGAAATTCCATGTTGCTCCTGCACTTCTGAAAAATAAGGCTTTAGCAGAGTTTTAGGTTTAGAAGAGTGCTGAAGGCTTGATAAGGAATTTAGGAAAAAGTTGATGCATATTGAGGATATTTATTGGATTTAATTTCAAATATATATAAATTAAAACTCTAAGTTTATAAGCGCTTAGAAGGTTAAGGTTGCTGAAGAGATATAATGTAGGAAAAAATATGATCCCTTGGTTTGAGATCATACTAGTATCTAATTTAGTTATGATAAGCAATTTGAAGGCGATGAGCAGATTGAGAGTCTAAGGGAAGTGCAAAAATAGCACTACAATAAGAGAATAAAGGAATTATTAGAGATTTAATAAGGTGAACTTTGAACCAGGTTTTCTGAGGGGTGAAAAAGCTAAGGCATCAAAGAGAATGGAGGCTTGAGTAGACCTTTTTAACACATGGTCATGCCTTGTAAGCTTGGGGTAGTAATAATGCCAAGATTTTTAACTTTAAAACAAAAATTAATAGGGGAGCCGTTGATATGAGGAAAGGATAGGCAATCTGTACTAACGGGGTTAATTGGAAATTAATAAAGACTGGGATTTGTTAGTACTTATTATTAACTTTAGTAGATCAACTAAAGATTTGATCAGATCAGTTGAATCAAAGGTGTTCAATACAGATTTCATTCATTTTTGGTTGATCGATTCTGTTGAACTGAAGGCTGCCATGACAAAATTTTTTAGTTGATTGACTCTATAAACCAAATTTGACAGATTTAGTTTCACTCTGTTGAAATGAAGGTTCTCTATAGATTTCATCCATTTATCAACTCTGTTGAATCAAAGACTGTAAGGTAAATAGCTATCGGTCGAAATAATTAAATTGTCTGGAAATAATCATTGAAAATGCAAGTTTGCATTTGTCCAATGTTTTGCAATTGGGTGCCAAAGAAACATTTATTTCCATTCTTTTTACTATTTATTATTATAAATTGTTTGTTACTTTAACTGAAAACAATTGAACTAATCTTTTATATCATATATCATCAATATATAAAAATTGTAGTTTTCACCGATTTTCAAGCGATAAGTGTCCCAGAGGTGTCTATTGAGACTTCATTGTTTCGCTCATATACTCGATATCATTGGCTTCACCAATCGTTCCAATAACTTAACTTGAACAATGAAAACTGTAGAAATACCAAACATGTTGAATAATCTTTATGCAAGGTATTGGTTGAAATGAAAAAGCTAGTGCCACGAGCTGGATTCGAAAGGTAGGCTGAGATGGGAGGTTAGTGTCCGAGTGGATCGAAGTCACGATAACTCAAGTGGTAGAGCGGCGGCATATTTAGCTGAACGTCGTGGGTTCGAATCCCTCTTGTTGCACTAGCTTTTTCATTTCAATCAATACCTTACAAAAAGAATAATTAATTGAAAGAAGTTATTTGGTCAATCGGACCACGAAATATAATGGATAACGAATAATATTGAAAAAGTAGTAGAAATAGAGTAGAAAAGTAATGAGTTTTGACCGCCCCTCCCTCACTACTTCAACTAATTTTTTTATAAAAGGGTGTTGTAGTTTCAAAATAGCGCGGGAAATTACCAATCAGAGTTTTGTCCGGTGAATGTTGGAATAATTATGTATTTTTTGCGATTTAATTGTAGTTCTTCGTACTTTAAAGTAAGTGTAACAAATTTTTTCAGTTTGGAAATCTCGTATTTATGTTTTGCTATTCTTCCGTCATTCACCAGTTTATGAATGAACTTCCCTTTCCAGAAATATGTCATTTGAAATCTTGTCAAGTGTAACTATACATTTTGTTTTAATTTGCCCACTTTTTTCGGCTTGCTGGATCGATTTTTCGGTTTTTACGTCAAAAACGCAGTAGGAATGTTTTTTTTTTCCCTATTTTTTGGTCAACGAATCCGGCCCGGATCAACACTGAATTCTGTCCCAGAGGTTCGGTAAACTGCCTCTGCTTGTAAACAACTTTACGTCTGAACTTGGCATCGCCCAAATGTTTACATACACGACTATTTACGATGTAAAAATCTCGGCTATTTGATCAAATCGAATCCCGGGCTCCGTGTCGAAAGACAATTTTCCACCTTTTACACATTTCGAAAGCGATCGCGGATTAGATATGTACGAAATCAGAAGGTTTTCCGACACCGACGATACCAAGACTAGTCAACAAATTAAAGACGGGATATCGGCGTTTCTATAGAATTAATTAATGTCTATATGTCTCCGATTAGTCACCATATATGCACTGCTTGTACTGGAATAGTGCGCCAAGGAGATGACCGTCTTGATAACGTTAATACTGTTTAACGTTTTTTACGTATCTATCTTACAAGTGAAATGCGATGAGGAAGTTAAAAAGGATACACCCTGTAAGTATGAAATTTACATATTAAATCATTTCAAAATCTTATATGCTAACCAATAAATTCAATTAAAACGTCCCCCTATTTGATTAGTCGGCATTCCATCATTTTTTACGTTTCATTTCCAAAGGCTTTTTCGTTCAGTCTGTTCACCTGGTGCAAATTCTCCAAAAAATAAAGAAATGTATTCAGGACAGATTTCATTCAATTTTAGTTGATTAACTCTGTTGAATCGAAGGTTTTCACAAAAGATTTCATTCACGTTTTGTTGATCGACTCTGGTGAACCGAAGGTCCTCACAAAAGATTTTCATGTTTATTTGATTGACTGTTGAACTGATGGCTCTCACGACAGATTTCGTTTGGCTCTGGTGAACAGTGGGTTTCAGGAGTTTTTGTTCAATTTTAGTTCATAAGCTGTGATAAAACCAAAGGTTCTCACAAAAGATTTTGTTCATGTTTGTTGTTGATTGACTCTGTTGAACCGATGGACAGATTTCATTCAATTTTATTTCTTGAGATCTGTTGAACCAAAGGTCAACACAAAAGATTTCATTCATGATTAGTTGATCAACTCTGCTGATGCGAAAGGTTCTCACGACACATTATGAATGACTCTGGTGAACCAAAGGTTTTCAGGACAGATTTCATTCAATTTTATTTCTTGAGATCTGTTGAACCAAAGGTCAACACAAAAGATTTTGTTCATGTTTAGTTGATCAACTCTGCTGATGCGAAGGTTCTCACGACAGATTATGAATGACTCTGGTGAACCAAAGGTTTTCAAGACAGATTTTGTTCAATTTTAATTGATCAACTGTTGGACCAAAAGTTTTCAGGACAGAATTCGTTCAGTTGATCGACTCTGTTAAACCGTTGGTTTTCAAGATAGATTTCGTACTCAGGTGAATCAAAGGTTTTCAGGACAGATTTTGCTCAATTTAGTTCATGAGCTCTGTTGAACCAGTTTCTTACAAAAGATTTCATTCAATTTTACTTCATTCATGACAGATTTCGTTCAATTTTAGTTTATGAGCGCTGTTGAACCGAAAGATTTCAGGAAAGATTTCGTTCAGTTTTTCTTTTATGAACTCTGTTGAACATAAGGTTCTCACAAAAATTTTTGTTCATGTTTAGATGAACGACTGTTGAAACGAAGGTTTTCAAGACAGATTTTGTTCAATTTTAATTGATCAACTGTTGGACCAAAAGTTTTCAGGACAGATGTCGTTCAGTTTTAGTTGATGAACTTTGTTGAACCAAAGATTCTCACAAAAAATTTTGTTCAGTTTTAGTTTATGAGCGCTGATGAGCCAAAAGTCAACACAAAAGATTTCGTTCAATTTTAGTTTATGAGCGCTGTTGAACCAAAAGATTTCAGGACAGATTTCGTTGTTTTTTTTTTTTATGAACTCTGTTGAACCAAAGGTTCTCACAAAAAATTTTGTTCATGTTTAGTTGAACAACTGTTGAAACGAAGGTTTTCAGGGCAGATTTTGCTCAATTTTAGTTCATGAGCTCTGTTGAACCAGTCTCTTTCATCACAATATCTTGGGGGAGGTCTTCTTTGTTAGTACATATAAATGAGTCAGTTTTCAGTCAACAGTTTTTTTTTTTATGATGAAGCTCTGTTGAGTTTTTAATTTGTGTATGTGGGTCCCATGTACATCATTTATCAATGTGTCGCCAAAGGTAGCTTGTGGTACTCATAGGTCTTTCTAAAGGTAGTGCATAAATAAAAGCAAAACAATTTATAGGAAGAATGTTAAAGCATAATCTTTTTGTCATGTGCCTTTGTATCTAGAAGCTGATAGGAAATCTATAATTGGAAGTTATTTTTTCTAATGTGCCATTTTAGGCAACAAATTGATGTGAATTATCATCCGTGAGTTGAATTCTAATTCATTGATTAATTATATTCTTGTGGGTTATCAGATATTATACTTACATTCAAAATTAAAGCATCAATCCTATAATTTTAAAAATCTTTAAATTCTTAAAGTCTTGTTTGTTTAGTAGAGGAGAAAAATGAAAAATCAATATTTAAATACATATTTAATCAACGGTCAAGCTATTTCTATCCTCAAATCTTATAATTTTTTCCCTTAAATAAAATAAATAAATTGTTTAAAATGTGCAAAAAAAAAATTTGTTAGAGAGGTGGCTTTAAATGACAACTAGAGGCTATAGGAAAGCACCAGTCCTAACATTGTCCATCTGTCATTTACCGAATTCTGATATTTGAAAACGGAATTATTCTTGTTTCCAAGGTCTGTTTCAGCTATTGATGAGGGTTTTATTTATCTGAACACCTTTTGGGTTTGAAATAGCTTTGGTCCGAGATTTAACCTATTAACAGTGAGAAATGTCCAAACTTAAGAAGTTTTGAATGTGCCCTATCATCCTACTGTCGAGCAGCCCCTCTTCTCAACCGAGAACACCATACTCCAATGCTTCAGATTTCTATGTAATATTGGGCATGGACAGCTGAAGATTGGGACTGTGTTTCCTCACAGCTTGATTTTCTCTGCACCAATTTTGGCGGTGGTTTATTTTGGGCATGCCAATTTTTCTGCCATTTGCTCAATTTATTGGGTTTTTCTTAATGCATCACATCATGATGTCGCTTGGGTTGTGAATGAATAAATTAAGTTCCCACATTCTGGGGGACTATGCGAAACAATTAAGTTCCACATAGTCGGAAGGCGTGTACCAGAAGATGATGACACATACTAGGAAGTGGGGTTTTTTGTTCCCCAAGCACTGTAGCCTTTTGACTTATTGTACTTTCCTATTTCTTTAAAAATTCAGTGCAGTTGACTCGAGGAGTGCTAGGTCACTGACTATAGTTCCTTTTACACGGATTTCTTTGTATCCCAGGTTATGTCTCCATCGAGCAGTTGCTTTGCATTCAAAGATGATATGGATGGCTGTTTCTTCCTTTTCATTGCATAACCTACAATCGGGGTCATCATTGAATATACCCATGTTACGCAGATTTTTCTCAGATACCAGTGACTGGTTAATAATCCTATCACTCACTGTTTAGCCCTCTCTATTGCAGTGAGTTTGATCTTGGTGATGGTTGTTTTAGCATAAGCTTACTGTGTCTAGTACCTCTAGATTTCATCCACTTCTCTTTGTCTTTTTTTGATCCATTCTTTGATGGATGAGTCTGTGTTCGCTTTTGTTTAGCAGTGCATCTAGTGCAATGACGGAGTTGTTTTCATTGCTCCTGTGATACATAGGTTTGCCAGTTGTATACTGCCTAATGCTTGGGTAACTGCTTGTGCAGTGTTTTGGTCCACCAAATCAGCGAGCCATAGGATAATTTGGGTCTTATTACTGCCGTTTTTACTCCACAAAATTTTCCTAGAGTTCTTCTTGTGACCATCAGCGATGTTTTGTTTTTTGTTATGATGGGCCGCAGTTGAGGGTCCCAGGTTAATTTCTTATCAAATATTATCCCTAGATATTTAAGCTCGTTTTTGAACCGCAGCATTTCATTATTCTTTGGGATTGCTTTGTCTCCATTTTGTGCATCATCTAGCATGTTGAGTGCTCTTCGGGTGAGCTCTTTTAATGTGGCGTACCAATAACCTATAAATTTACAGAATTTAATGCCTTTTTGAGTAATGAGAGAACCATACCGGTCATCAGACATTTAATTGAAGGGATGCCATGAAGAATGTCTGCACTTGTAAACGTTAGAGGAGAAAATACAAAGTACTATATTTTGTTTAATTTTTACCATTAAAATTTTTTAAAAATATTTCACACAATCACTACAAAATGTGTTATTTTGCAAAACCTAGATCATGCTTTAATTTTGTCTGCAAGTGTTTTTTTGTGTGATATGGTTGTAAGTGAAAAGTAGTTAACAAGCTGTTACGAACTAAAAAATAAGATATAATAAAAAAAAATTTCATTCATTCATTTGTTTATTGCTCTAGCTTGTTGAATTAGTAAAGTGCCAATGGTACAAACCTCTCGTCCCCTTATTTGTACATTTAAATTAAAATCTTTAAAAACAATTTTGTTTTTGTCAAACTGTTACTGATTTAAATCTCAATTATTTGATCGATTTGATATTTTTCAGATTCAAACAAGCCTGCAAATCTAACTATAGGCAAAGTGACAAATACAACAATTGATTTGAGTTGGAGTAAGCCTGAGCAACCGTCGGGTGATATTTTAAGCTATCATCTGTATTACTTATATGGTACAAATTATTCAGCAGTGCAATCAGTCAACAGTTCCCTGTCCAGAGTTCATTACACTCTCAAGAACTTAAGTAAGTGTAAACACTTATAAACATATTTTTTTTATTGCATGAACTAAAAAAATATGAGGCAGACGTGGGATCAGGATTTTAAAGATACTTTTTTGGTGATAGTCGAACAACAATATTAGACATGTGTCTGGGCCCTTGGAACTGAGCTTAAAAAAAAGTAATTTATATACATGTATTTTTTTTAAAATAAGAAAATAGAGTGCAAGACTGTACGAAACGAGATTAGCTATATGAAAAGTTAACAAATACGAGAAAACACTGTGAGTTAAATAGGCCAAAAATTGGTTTTTGTTGGACATAAAAATTTAGTTTACTGCACAAGAAGAACGAAGAACAACATGGGGCTCTATGAACCAGTATTAATTACACATGGACAACAAGCAAAAAAGATCCTAGAGGACATCATCATCAATGAAAAGAAACTCACATCTGCAATCAATCAGAGAACCTTTTTTTTAAATGTAGGCAAAACAAGGTATTTCCTACTCACATAAAAAACAACTTAAATTTTACAAATGCCAAAAAGAAACATTGAAATCATCATAATTGATTTAAACATTGACATCAATATGAACATTAAAAGACTATCAGAAAAATTACACCAATTAAAACTTAGTGCTTCTAACATAATACCTTAATACACCCCAAATAAATTCTACAAACATCAAAAAATTGCATACAATATTCACTTCGATCAAATTAAAAACAAACACACAATAAAGCTTAACAACTTTGTCAACAAATAGACACCTCATAACACAAACCTAACAAAAACTAACATTACATCAGAAATACAAAACTTCCACTTGGTCCCAAACATTCCATTCCCTACAACAAAACAGATTTCCCAACAGCAAAATTAAATACTGATGTAGAATGCAATCCAAAAGTCAACAAAAACAGAAGAGGAAAAAGACTTAACACGATTAAAATGCATGAACACAATAACAAATCACTTACATCTCATACAAAGTCAACACACCATATCTCAACAAACATTCATTCAAACAAAAAAATTCTCAAAAATAATCCATTCTCTCTTTCTGCTGATAAAACAAAACTAACAGTAGCAATCAGTAAAAAAGAGTAGAATGAAAAAATTATCAAAATTATCAACGATATAAACAAATACAGCATACTTAAATCAGACTCTATTCTATCTCTCATTATACAGACCAATAAAATCCTTCTATAAACATTTGAACAAAAAGAAATTATCATATACACTTACAAATCACTCCAAAATAATTCTCCAAAGCCCCCGAAGCTGTATGGATCTGTCATAACTCATAAACCTCAACATCTGACCGCATCTCACTGTCTTTAAATAATAACAATTCAGATTCAATTTAAATTCCCTTTAAAGCTATTAAATGTGAATTTAAAAAATAAAGAAAAAATGAATATTACCTGTTTTTTGCTAGAAACTTTTTGTAGCCTGTTTTACTACATTACAAATTAAGTACCAATACAATACAATATTGACATAGCGACCCAAGACTTCGCAAAGTAGAGTAAATTTTATTTTCCAAGAAAATCAGAAAAGAAAAGAAGAAAACTTGAGTTTTGCACTCCCAAAAACCCCAGAATACAAATTTTTGGGGGGAAAAAAATTCTTAAAACGTGTCATTAAAATGCCATTCAACATTTTTTTTCAAAAATTTTAGATTTATAGCAAACAAAACGAGAAATCAGCTGGGTGCAATTTTTCTGATACTGCAGCTTCATTTAAAAATTCACAACTCCTCTGGATTTCTCTCCTTTGAGTCTATATCAAAAATCTTTGGTTTTGATGGTATTATAAATGAGAAAAATTAGGATAAAATCAACAAAAACTCTCCAAACGTTTAATTTCATATCTTTGGTTTGGGTTTATTTGGAGACCAGGTTTATTCGCCCCTGGCCTTTTTTTTTCACACACCCCTTCCCCCAAAAAATGAATGTATGATATACAAACAAATGTTATTGTTCTCTGGCTATAACATGGGAATATAATATGGGAATCATAAAGCTGTTTAAAAAAATCATCCTCTGGATCAGTGGAGTTGTTTCAAAGTTATCACCATTTTTTCTGCATACAATACATAATTATTATGTGACCAAGTGATTTAGCAAAATAATTTTATTTTATTTTTTAGCAAGAAACAAAATTGATATTTGCTTTCTGCATCCTAAGAAACCTGAATACAAATTTATAACGAGAGAAAAAAAATTCCATCCAATTTTTTTTCTGAAAATCATAAAAATGGTGATCTCACCAATCTTTGGTGAACTTGACTGAGGTTTAAAACCCTATAAACTACAGTTAATGGCTCAAATGTCTCCTTTGTAAATAAACCAGAACCACAGATATAAAATAAAACATTTTGGGTGTTTTTGTTGATTTTATCCTTACTTTTCTCTTTCATAATGACATAAATCTAAACATTGTTGTTGTTATTGGTTTTCATATTATTGATTTTGGATAAAAGCAAGAGAACTTATTAATTTTTAAGTGGAACGCAGGAATCAGAGGTAAGAAAATTGACTGATCCAGCCAGCCTAAAAATGCTAATTTTTTGGATGGCTATAAAAATGTGTTGTTCGATAGTTATCTTCTTGGTCTGCCTATCTTTGCTGAGTTTTTTTGTTTTTGTTTACGGCATTTCTCAAAATTACCCAAACACTGAAGATGTCAAAACATGTCTGAACCAAAAAAAAAAAAAAAAAAAAAAAAAAAAAAAAAAAAAAAAAATCAGTGAGGATAGGTAGACCAATATGATAGGTAACTACAATAGGTTTATCACCCTGCAGACCACAAGAGGAAATTTCACAATAAAAATACGTATCCAAGGGTTTTTAGAGGGTGCTTAAAACAAATCAAAATTGGTTTATTCCAAAAATATTTTTTTTAGCTTACTTTTATTTTTATAATTTTTCATACACAAATCTCATTTAGTATGATCATGCATATTATTTTATTATCCTAGACTAACAACACACATACAAAAAACAAATCAAATGATGTATAATAACCTTGAATGCACAACAAAGGAAAAAAAACTAAATTACTTTTTTACTTTTTCAAAAAAAATCAGCTCCCAGACTCATTGGTGAGAACAGTTGGACATATATTTTTCGACTTAGTATCACCAAAACATAAAAAGTTTCATTGAAATTGGTGATCCCATGTTCGAAAGTCTCTCTTGTAAGACTTGAAATATGTATAATAAAAGTTAATGTATATAGTTACATAATTTTTTTTTATTGTACACAGAACCTTTTACAACTTATACAATTTGGGTGGAAAGTGTTGTTACCGGTGATGGGGACAGTGATGCCGAGAAGTCAGACGTTGCAACACAGAGCACCGATGTCAGCGGACCTGGGCCGCCAAGAATTACAAATGCGACGTGCATCACTCCCAATTCTTTATATGTCCAATGGCAAAGGCCAATAGAATTTTTCAATAAAATTGATGCATATTACGTAACGTACAGAATTGACAACTCGCCCGATTCTGAAGAAATCATAATCGATACAACTTTGAATGAAGACATTGATACTAGCCAAGTGAGTTCTGTCGAGAGAGAAAAAAAGTTTATCATTATAAAATCAATTCGTATTCAGTAATATATACGTAATGTACATTTTTCGATTCTAGATTGTCTCAAATTTGACTGACAAGACTTGGTATGAAGTCAAGGTCAGGGGCGCATCTAGGAGTGTATTAAATCTTAATCATTACATGCAAGGCGTATCCTCGATTCCGAGAAAGGTTTTCATTCAATATGATTGTGACATTTCTAATGAATCTGTTGAAGAAACTAATAAAGTTGTTAATGTCATTTTGATAACTGGCTTGGTTTGCGCCTCATTTGCACTTTGTCTCATAGTGTGTGTTATAACTGTTTGGAGGTGAGTTTTATTAATTGTTGAAAACTAACAGAATATTAATAAAGCTGTCGGCTAATAATTTTGTATAATTGTAAACGACACAAAGAAATTTTTTTTCTTTAAAAGTGAGGATTTATGTTAGCAGTCGAGCTAAATTTAGCATTTTGAGTTATTAAAGAAACAAAAAGGTGAAGTTTTTAACATTTTAACTAGCTTTTTGTTTTTTCAAATATGCTGTGTGCTAGCTAATCTTGTTATTTATAAAGAATTTATATATATATTTTTTAAATTACTTATTAACAGTAGTGGGGCGTTAAAATTATTTTAATGTACTTATCTAAAGAACAGTTTTTAAAAACTTATTATTTGGAACGATTATTTGTTATATATAGAATATGTTGCCCTTTTTTAGGCATTGGTTTCATGCAGCATATTACTATTTGGAAGAAAGTAGGCAAGTTGTTACAGCACCTGCTTTTGATTGGGCTGCTAGAAATGAACAAAATCCACCCATTCCTGTTGATATGTTTGCAAAGCATGTTGCATCACTTCATGCTGATGGAGATATTGGGTTTAGCAAAGAATACGACTCGATACAATTTGTCTATTTGCAAGACCAGTTTTCGTCTGAAGTTTCGACACACCCTGAAAATAAGATGAAGAATCGGTATCTGAATATTCTTGCATGTGAGTAAATCCTTCTTCCCATTGCTATTGGATTTTATTTATTTATTTATTTTTTTTTTTTTGTATAAAATTATATTTATTTTTTTAGATGATCATAGTCGGGTTCGTCTGATGGGCGGGCCTGGCCAAAATCGCTGTGTAGATTATATTAACGCTAATTACATAGATGGATTTGAGAAAACGAATGCCTATATTGGGACCCAAGGTCCTCTCCCAAATACATTTGATTGTTTTTGGAGAATGGTTTGGGAGCAAGGTGTTACTGTAATTGTGATGATAACAAATCTAGTCGAAAGAGGGAGAGTAAGTATTGTTCGGTCATCTTTTTAATTAATTAAATATGTACATTTTCTATACATTTTTACATTTCAATTATTATTATTATTTTTAGAGGAAATGTGATTTATATTGGCCTAAAGAAGGAACAGAAACTTATGGTCATATACAAGTTAGATTAGTGAAAGAAGATGTCCTTGCAATGTATACAGTTCGAACAATGAAAATTGTACATTTGAAGGTAAACACAATGTAGAACTTATTTTCTTATAATTTATTTCTAACAAATGGAGGCAACAAATGTGGGAGCACTGATTTTAATTAAACTTTTTTCGGTGAAAGGTCAAAAAATATTAGAAATGTGTCCAACCCATTATAAAAGAGAAAAATAAGGATGAAATCCACAAAAAACCCAAATTGTTTTATTTTATATCTGTGGTAATGGTATAGTTTTTGTTATTTTCAGAAAAAATCGGAGGAAAAAATTGGATAAATTTAAAAAAAAAATCTCATTGTAAATTTCTAAAAATTCTATTCAGGTTTTCTAGGATGCAGAAAACAAACATCAACTTTGTTTCTTGCTTAAAAAAAAAAAAAAAACCCTGCTATTTTGCTGTCACAAAATAATTATGTATTGTATGTACAAAAATGGTGATAACTTTGAACAACTTCACTGAAACACAGGTTGTTTTTTTTTAAATAGATTTATGAATAGACAGAGAACAGAATAAAAAAAGTCAGCGTCACGAGCGGGATTCGAACCCATGATCTTCGGCTAGATATGCCGCTGCCCTACCACTTGAGCTATCGTGACCTCGATCCACGCGGACACTACCTTCCCATCTCAACCCCAATTTTTTTTAATTTTCCCTCCTTTTTGCCATTTTTCAAATGTTGTGTAATCGGATTGGATTCTCGACGACAAATGAAATGTCCACAGAGAGCTTTAGTGAAGTATACTTCATTTTAAATCATTAAATTTACTAATTTCGTGGTCTGCTTGACCAATTAATATATGACAGTTAATTAAGGTTTTTAGTTGATATAAAAAAGTCAATGGCACGAGCGGGATTTGAACCCACGATCTTCGGCTAGATACGCCGCTGCTCTACCACTTGAGCTATCGTGACCTCGATCCACTCGGGCACTACCTTCCCATCTCAACCCCAATTTTTTTTAATTTTCCCTCCTTTTTGCCATTTTTTAAATGTTGTGTAATCTGTTTGATCCTCAGCGACAAATGAAATGGCCATGGAGAGCTTTAGTGAAGGTATACTTAATTTTAGCTTATTAAATTCACTAGTTTTCGTGGTCCATTTGACCAATTAATATCTTTCAATTAATTAAGGTTTTTAGTTGATAAAATTTTTTTCAATATTTCGTTTGTTGCCGAGAATCAAATAAATTACACGACATTTAAAAAATGGCAAAAAGGAGGGAAAATTGAAAAAAGGTGGGGTTGAGATGGGAAGTTAATGTCCGAGTGGATCAAGGTCACGATAGCTCAAGTGGTAGAGCAGCGGTGTATCTAGCCGAAGATCGTGGGTTCGAATCCCGCTCGTAACGCTGACTTTTTTATCTTAACTAAAAGCCTTAATTATTTGAAAGATATTAATTGGTCAAGCGGACCACTAAAACTAGTGAATTTTGAAGAGAACAGAATGTTCGTTTGCATATCATACATATATTTTTGGTGGGAAGGGGTGAGTGGAATAAAGGCCAGGGGCGAATAAACTTGGTCTCCAAAAATAAATTAAAACCAAAGATATGAAATAAAATGTTCAGAGCATTTTTGTTGATTTCATAGGAAAAAATGTACTTGGCTGATTTCTATTGTTTTGCTACAAAAATTTAGGATTTTTATGATAAAAAAAATGAAAAAATCTGAGGGCAATTTAAGGCCAACATTTTAAGGACAAAAATATCTCTCGATTTTCCCAAAAATTTGTATTCAGGGGCTTTTGGGGGTGCAAAACTGGAATTTTCTTCTTTTCTTGATTTCTTGATAAATAAAAATATTTTACACTACTACTTTGCTAAGTTGCTTGGTCACTATGTCAAAATTGTATTTGATACTTAATTTATGACCAATCAGTGTATCAAATCAAGCACATTTTTTAATGCAAGAAACAAAGGTTTTTGATCAAGGAAGATAATACTCATAAGGGAAAGATCTAATAGCCAAGCAGCTATAAAGCATTAGTACGTAAAACAAATCACATCAAAATTGTTCAGTGAATGCATCCGAAATCTCCAAAACCTCGGGAAATACGATAACCTGATATCTTGGATACCAAAATGCAAGGAAATTTTGGGTATCGAACAAACAGACACATTGGCTAGAGGAGGATCTGCAAGATTATATATAGGCCCAGAAACACTTCTTGGGATAAAAACAAACATAGAATTGTACATAACAGATTCTAAAAAAGGCAAAAGGAAAACTCTAGAGGCACTAGACGCAGTAAATCTATGCTAAAACAACCCCCACCAATACTGGCAAACCCACTGCTACAGTTGAGAGGGCTAAACTGAGAGTATGATGGGACTTTGGGTCACTGGCATCTAAGAAAATATCTTTGCAACATGGGTATATTCAACGATGACCCCATTTGTAGGTTATGCAACGAGGAGAAAGAAACAGCCGCCTATATCTTCGAATGTAAAGCAACCGTACAATAGAGACATAACCGGGGATACAAAGAAAGGTAAAGGAATTGTAGCAACGACAGCCAGTGACCTAGCAGTCCTTAGGAGAAGGATTGGGCCAATTGCATATGCAACTACAAAAGTAAAATAAGCTAGAGGGCTGCATTGATTGGGTAACAAAACCCCCAACTTCCTAGTATCCATCATCACCATCCCAAGAGATATGAGCAGCCTGAGTTAAAAAAAAATCCAGATGATCTTTCTTAGAAAAAGCTTGTTAAAAATTGAAATTCTTATTATAAGTTTGTACGATTGATTGATCTAACTTATAAACGTTGTATTTAAGGCTAAAAGAAAAAAGTATACCATGGGAGAAAGACAGGTGCAGCAATTCCATTATACTAACTGGCATGATCATGGGACCCCAGATCACCCGTTACCAATTCTTAGTTTTGTAAACAAATCGTCATCTGCAAATAACCCCAACTCAGGGCCTATTGTTGTTCACTGCAGGTATTATGTCGTACAGTGTGACTTTAAATTTATCTTTTTAATACTCAGTAATTATTATTTTTTTATTCAGTGCGGGTGTTGGACGTACTGGTACATATATAGTTTTAGATGCTATGCTCAAACAAATAAGAGCTCGTGAAGAAGTCAATATTTATGGCTACCTTAAATACATCAGGAATCAGAGGAATTATCTAGTCCAGACTGAAGAACAATATATATTTATTCATGATGCCATCTTAGAAGCCATAACCTTTGCTGAAAATGCATTGAGCACCGAATGTTTACACTATATCCTGCAACCAAATCCTGAAACTGATTCTGAACATTGGAAACAGTTTCAGGCTAATTATAAGGTAAGCATAGTTAAAATATAAATGCAATTAGTTTAAACGACAAACAATAAAAAAAGTTAAAAATTTAATTTTTTTTCAAACCACCTCAACATAAAATCTCATTTTGTCTTCTTTACATTTGCCTAATACATGGTTTTGAGGCTTTAAATTCTAATATCCAAAAGTGGTACAATCTTTTCAGGATTTTATTTTGTATTTTACTATTATTTCCATTAAAGGAATGTTGAACAAATAATGTTCATAAAATTATGGTCCCAGAATGATTCAATAGAGAAAATAAAATTACAGTTATACCCCTTTTAACCCACAACTCTCTGTAGTGACTTTCCGTGTTACATTCCCTGGCAAAAAATAGGATTTCTTTACATTTTAAACCTCTCTAAGGAACCACCTCTGTACCGGTCATGGACATTGCTGTCCGTTCGCATCAGAATAATTCACCCCTCTTACATAAGCATTAAAAATATGTTAAATGTCCATATGAAATGATCATTTAAATTTTTTCAAGTCAAAAATGTTTCAGGCAGGTAGGTTAATCTTTAAGGAAGTTCTGTTCCTCCTCACATATCCTGTTCTGTGTTAATTTGAAGATAGATAGATAGATATACTTTATTTATAAAATGAAAGAAATTTAGAGTTAAAAATAAAAAACAGTATTATTATGGCATGGTATTTAAGACCGTCAGCCAGAGTTTGGAGTGCATTACTATTCCAAGAATATACATAGTTATGTAATTATAAGAAAAGGAGAATTTACAATATCAACTTCAGAGGTTACAATTATTTACAGGATTTTCAAATTTCAAGATTGAGGTGACTGAAAATAATAAAAATGACACTTCAAAGAACCAAAGCAAGGATTCCTAAAGATTAAATAATTATACAAATAAATTAAAATTTAATTAATTAAATAGATAAACATTTCAGGAAGGTAGGTTAATCTTTTTAAGGAAGTTCTGTTCCTCCTCACGTATCCTCTTATGTGTTAATTTGAAGATGCATTGGTAATCAATTTTTAGATATTACATAAGTACATTTTCAAAAGCTTCTCTTTCACCGAGGAGTAAATTGTACATGTACTTGATGGCTTTTTTGACTTTGTTTCCAGAAACTACTTTGTCTTAATATTTTCTGTTTGAAAGCTTTTCTTTCGCAGAAGAACCAAAAATTCTTGCACCTCTGCTCTAACATAATTGATTCTTAGAAATGATAAATGATAGAGTGAGTGTGGTGTTCAATCCTTAAAAAAAAAATTTGTTTTTTAAAAGGATTGAACACCACATTCATTCCACCATTTATTATTTCTATTAATTTGCTAGTCAAAGCAGTAATGGATTATAACACAATTATTTTAAAAAGGATTGGCTTAATTGATTCTGGTTGATGGAAATTAGGATTGCCACTCTGGTTGATCTGTTATTAGCCATATTGTGATGTTCGATGTTGTCAATGTTCAATCACCAATTTTGCTATCTTTCCAAACTTAGTAGTGAGAGTTCCTCAGGGTTGAGTGCTAGGGCCTCTCTTGTACAATATTGTTGGGAACGAAATGAATAAAGCAATTGTGGACAAGATATTTTTGTATGCAGATGACGCGGTACTTTTGATCAGACTTCTGCTCTCTCACAAGTTCAATCATTCTTGAATCGATTGCTACTTGTATCTCGTGATCAAAAATTAGTACTTAATCCTAAGAAAACAGTGATCATGATTTTCAAGTGAGTGCAGACTCATCTTGTCTAGCTTGTGATTGTTTTATGTCATTATTTCCCTGCTTGACAATAAACTCAGGAGATTGACATGTGACTAGCCTTCCCTGAACGTGATAAACGAAACAACTTATTTGGGCCTAACTTTAGACTCAAATATTTAATGGGAACCACACAGAGAATCTCTTGATCAAACTAACATAATATACCACCAAATATAAAGCCTTGTTTGAATCCCTAATTAGGTAGACAACGGAATGTTATTAGATGAGAAAGTTACGTTAAATCTGTTACCACCACCTGATTCCTAGCTAAATTAATTTGGGATTTATGTGAGACCATCTTTTGCTAAACATAATCGTTTCTGAATTAAATGGGTGGTCTATTGAAGTTGATACACTCTGTAAATAAAAATAAAAAAAAGCGAAAAATGAATTGCCGTGGTGAACACATTAAGATATCATTACAAGGATGAAAGGTCTTTATGTGGGTTTAACATAGTTAGTGTGAAAGACGCTTGTCTCATAGACCCCGGGGTCAGAGGTTCAAGTCACACCATCGTCCCTAGCCTTTTTTTTGTTCCCCTTCCCCCAAAAACACTATACAAAATACAATTGATTGCTCTGGTTAATATTGAAAAATAAAGCCATAAAAAAGTCTTTATCTCTTTATCAACAAGGGGATGACCAGGTCAGTAGGTCACTGATTTGGACCAAATTTTTTGTGATTCTGTACTCAAAAATATTGGACACTTATCCTCTACTACTTGTGAATAGGCCCTAGTTTCGCCAAAATATTTTGATAGTTAAAAATTTCACCTTTCTAGTTGCTCAAAACAGCTATGTGGATGCAATTTACAGCATTTTTTATGTAGATTGCGATAAAAATATAGTAAAAACTATCAATAACCAAAAAAAATCCAATATTTTTCATGTAAACTAGATCATATGTTTTTCCATGAAACTAATATATTTGGTTGAAGACTACTAAATGTTTTTGTTTGTTTCAAATTGAGAAGAGGTCATTAGTCTTTTTGCAATCTACTGGTTCCTGAACTTTCTTTCTAACATTTTTGTTCTTCCTATCCTTGATACTTTGGTTTGTCAGAAACAATTAAGCTTCTTGCCGTCTTTACTAGCCATAAAGATATATCTAATTTGCAAGCTGTTACATACATGTTTTGTGATTTCTTCTTGAGGTCTGCTAGTTGATGAACTTGAATCTTGGTGGTTTTCTATCTCTTTTGATCTGCCTACCCTCATTGGGTATGCCTGTCAGATGCATTTAGGCATTTTGTCATCCTGAGACACACAGAAGATGGCGAATTGCCGATATGCGATAGACCAAAATGACCACAGAAAGAAGTAACTATAACATTGGAAGCCAGAGCAAACACCGAACTAAACATTCAGAAAAATTGCAACCAGTCTTTTTTTATTATTTATTTACTTCATATTTTAAAAATATTATAATTCAAATTGTGTACTTACTTGTTGTAGATGGTCACTTCGTTTGAAGCGAAAGAATATAATCATATATCAGCTAACAAGCCATGCAACCTTATAAAAAATAGGTCTACTGAATTTATTCCCCTTGAAAACTCAAGAGTTCATCTTACCCCAAAGCCTGGAATCGAAGGGAGTGATTATATCAACGCATCATGGTTTTTAGGTAGTTAAACTTTTTAAAAAAAATTGTCTATAATATTTTATAATTTATGTGTTAAATTTGCTGTACCATTATAGCAAAAAATTCTGACATTGTTTATTAGTTTTTTGTTTTGTTTTGTTAATAAATATAAAATAATGCAAGAACCTTTTAATGAGAATGAAACCAAAAGTTGAAAAAATACGTACACTTTCTAGGATTCAAGAAATTGAAAGAATTTGTTATAACCCAACACCCATTAGATCATACAGTCATCGACTTCTGGCAAATGATTTGGGACCATAATGCTCAAACAATAGTTTTACTGTCAGCAATTGATGGTACTGAAGTAAGTGTTTTTCATAATTTTTCTTATTTACAATTTATAACAATTTCTTGAACAAACTGAAGAAATTGAACGTCATGTGCAGGGTTTCAATCCTTTCTGGCCTATTGAAAAAGAACACACTATGGATAGTGATAACTTCAAATTAAAAATAATCGAGGAGAGTGAACTCGATGGAACAGTTTCTCGGGATTTCACTATCCAGTCTTTACACGATGACTACGAATTGACCGTTAGAATAATTCAACCATCACATACTATTACTGAAATAAGCGATATTATTCATCTGATAAATATTGTTCAACAACATCATTTAGAATATCAAAATGGGCCTATTGTGGTTGTAGATGAGTAAGTAAAACCTATGTCTCTGATTTTTGATTTGATCATGAATTTTTTAATGCCCTCTTGATTTGTTTTCATTTTGTTTTGCTTTCAAAAGAAGAAATGGCTAGATAATTAGGTGGCCTAATAGATTGTATTTATTGAATTTTACTTTTAGGTTGGGGGGTACAGTTGCTGCCACATTCTGCTGTCTTACAACCCTGATGAAACAGTTAGATTACGATTCTCATGCAGATGTTTCTATCTATGCTAAGCTATATCATAATAGAATTCCTGGAATCTGGAAAACTATAGTGAGTGGTTTTGGTTTTCTTACCTATAGTTTATAAAATTTAAGTTGAATATATTTGTGTTTTATCTTATCCTTATCCTTTTTCCCCTCTTTTCAAAGAGTATTGTACTGTTTAATTCTCATTGTTTTCAATAACAAGGACAGGAAAAAAAGTGGTTTTCGTCAACTTTTTTCAGTGATACTAGGTCAAAAATTATTAAACATGTGTCCGTGTGTTCTATCCCCTAGGAGCTCAGGAAAAAATAAGCTAATTGAAGCAACATTTTTAAATATAATTTTCTGTCTTTGTTGTATATGTGTTTCAAGGTTTTTATATACCTTTTTTCTCGTCAAATTAACCTTTTTTTTTTACTTCAAATTTCCCTTATTTCATGGGAAAACTTAACCCTCACAAAAAAATAAATAAATAATAAGAGGGGGGGACAGAAGTTAAACGTTTTAAAAAATTACTTACATTGGTTTTTTCCCTTTGATCTTAGGGCACTATCACATCAGAAAAAAGTTTAATCACATCAGAAAAAAGTTTATTTAAATCGGTTGGTTATCCCACGTCCTTTTTTTAAAGTATGATTCGTTATCTTTGTTGTATATGTGTTTCAAGGTGATTATGTAGCTCTTTTCCGTCAAATTGACCTTTTAATGATTATTTGGAGTTCGTGAGATGCAGTCTTGTGTGATGTCGGTTTAGAAAAACATTTTCTTTATTGTGCCAAAGTTTCTATCTTTATTTAGATCATCTTCAGGCCCTGGAATATACAAACATTGATTACATTATACAAATACATGTAAGATGTGAAAATGAATTTATACAATGATTTATATAAAGTAGAAAATTTAGGTTTAATCAAAGTATTTGTATTCACTTAAAGTGCGTGTTTTCTGTGTAGATGAGACACTGTTGAGTGTTGTGTTGGGAGTGTTAGAGATATAAATGTTTTTTTGTTTATATATGTTTGATTTTGAATTTTAACCTTTTAACTTCAAATTAACTCTTTTTAATTTCAAATTAACTTTTTAATTTCAAATTAAATTTTTTAATTTCAAATTAACTTTTTAAATTTCAAATTAATCGGTTTTAACTTCAGATTAACTTTCTTAATTTCAAATTAATTCTTTTTAACATCAAATAAACCTTAGCTAATGGAAAATCTGGGTTACATATTACAGTTTTTGTTAATTATTTTTAACCGTTATATAAAAGAAGATTTTTTATATTTAAATTTATAAAATTTTAATTTTTATTATTGTTCTTATTATTTTTTCATATTTATCTTATGTTATTTATTATGATATTTCATACGAGAGCTCAATATCTATGTTTTAAAAAAATCTCGAATTAATAATAGAAGGTTCATTGTTTATATTTAATTGTATAAAACTTTTAATTTAAATTGTAATTAATTTTCCTGTGGTTTTTAAGTTTTTTTGTTGCCTCAAAAAGGGTTAATTTGAAATTAAAAAGGTCTAACTTGAAGTTAGTTTAAAAAAATCTAATTGAAATTTAAAAATGGTTAATTAAAATTTAAAAGGTTCATTTGAAGTTAAAAAGGGTTAATTTGAAATTAAAAAGTTAATTGAAAGTTAAAAATAGGTAATTAAAATGAAAAAAGGTTCATTTTAAGTTAAAAGGGTTATTTTGAAGTTAATTATTAAAAAATAATGTGTGGTGATTAGTGACCATTAATCGATCTGGCACTCTCAACACAACACACAAGAATGGCACAATTATACAGAAGACAACACTTTGAGCCCTGAAGATGATCTCAATAAAGATTGAAACGTTGGCACGATAAAGAAAATGTTTTTCTGAAACCTACATCACACCAGACCGCATCTCACGATTTCTGAATAATTAAAAAAATAATAATTTAAAATGTAAAAAAATGTTAATTTAAGTTAGTTAAAAAGGGTTAATTGGGAATTAAAAAACTTAATTTGAAATTACAAATAGGTAATTAAAATTAAAAAAGGTTCTTTTGAAGTTAAAAGGGTTATTTTGAAGTAAAAAAAAAAACAATATTTAAATTTTGTAAAAATGTTAATTTTTAAGTTAGTTAAAAAGGGTTAATTTGAAATTAAAAATGGTTCATTTAAAAAAATCAATTTGAAATTAAAGAAGGTTAATTCGGAGTTGAAAAGTGTTTATAATTTGAAACTGAAACGGTTAAGTTGAAATAAAAAAGGGTTATCTTCAAATTACAAAGTGTTAACGTGGTCGAGGAAAGCTATATTTCAGTCGATTTGGGTTTTAGTCTAGGATAAGAAAATAATATGCAGGAATGTATAAATGAGATTAAACATATAAAAAAGTAACACAAACAAGATAGTCCCAGTAAAGATAGCCAACAAAATATTTTCTTGTGGGGGAAAAACCAATTTGGATTTGTTTTAAGCACACTTTAATGCCCTTAATTAGCAAACCAAAAAATAAACATTTTCTTTTCAGAGGCTTTGTAAGCTTTAAATGAATTATTTAATTAATATGAATATTTGAAATGAATATGAATTGGTTAAAAAAAAAAAAAAAAAAAAAAAATGCCTACTTTAACAGAACCATCTTTTTGTTTTTCATCTTGAATGCTATTTTCTAATCAAAGATGAAAAAAAGCAAATCGATTGATATATAACTATCTCGAAATAGATGAACAATTAAGATAGAAAAACATATTTAAAAATACTATGTTTTTTTAAGACTTCTTGGCTTGTAGGGCCCATTAGCAAAAACCTAGGACACATATCTAATATTTTTTGACCAAGTATAACCAAAAATTGGTTAATTAGGATCTATGATCCCATGTCCATATCTTTCCATTGTAAAGATCTTAATTTCAGAAACATATAACAATATTTTCTATTTTTTAAAGTATGCCATTTGCATATCACTTATTTTAAGAATTCTGTTTTGATAAAAAAAAAGGGGAAATTTTGTGAAAATTATTGTTGAACTATTTATACAATTAACATTTCATGATTTTTATTTCAGGATGACTATCTTATGCTCTACCGAGGTTTGAGTGAAATAACTGTGAGCAAAGGTGTATCTTTGATCGCTAGTCCGGATCCTTACATTCACAACCATTATAGTAGCTACACAAACGGTACTGCCCTTTCATAACAATTAATGGTAATGCCAAAATAAAATTATCTCCAATCAAACAGGGTGAATTTCTTTTGTCAAATTTAATGGATAAAAACAAAAAATAAAACAGGATTGTCAATGATGGTTGAAATCTGATCTAGAAATAGCATTTCTATACAGTGATGTTAAAATCAAGTTTTACAAGTGCCAAATTATTTTTTACTATATTATTATCACATTTTAATTTTTTTTATTATTCATCACAACAATCATAGCACTATTATCAATAAAAAGTGAAGCTAGGCCAGTGTGTATTGAATTTACACAATGATGCATCGAAAAAATTGTGTATGAACCTGTTTTTTAGGATATTTTAATTGTAAGTGCACCTTGTTTTTTTATTCTTATTTGAAATCGCGTTAATATTTAATAATTATTTTCTATTACTGCATTATAATCAAAAATTTTATTTCTAGTCTTAAATTTTTTTATATTTAAAATGAATTATCACATGATAAAAAATAGCACTAATTTTTAATGTAATTAACACTTTTCAAGCATTTGGTATAAGGATTCCAAAGTTAGTTCTTTTTAGCCAAGATCAATTTAAAAAAAAAAAATCATAATTTGAGCCAATGATAATTTTAACATTTGGTATTTTTAGTAATTGTTTCTAAAAAAAGAGTCAAATGTGTGAGTATAAAAGTGCTTCTTGTTTTTATGTCAAAAGACTTCAGCTTGAAAAAAAAAAAACGTACTTTAATATTTCATCGGTTTTTGTATTCATTGTTATTATACAATATAAATGAAAAATATTCATTTAAAAATAAGACCTAACTTCATGTGTAAAACGTTTTACGTAAAAAACGTAAAAAAGTTTAATTTTTTTTTTACTTTGTATTTATTTTGCTGTCTTATAATTCTTTTTTTTAAGATAGTAATCAACTGCAGTGTTTGTTTTATAGCAATCTAATCTCTCTGATCTCTTTTTTAGTAATGCCTAAATTGAATTTGCCACATGCTTTAAAAGTAACCTATTATACATTTGATTTTCAAAATAAATAAAAAAAGTTTAAACTAAAAAACTAACTAAACTTAACTAAAAAAACTTATAACAAAAATATTTAATTAACCATTCAACATCATTGAAAGTTTTAACTAAGATACTATAGTTTTAAAAAAATCCTTTTAGAAACGTTTTAAAATATTTTTTATTTATATATGATTTATTTAAAAAATCGTAAATAAAAGCTAATTACTCTTAAATTGTACACGGTGGCAAATATTGAAAAAACTGAACAAAAGCTGGACCGCTTTTGACCTCATGAAGAAATGCATGATCAGAGGACGATTTAGTCTATTCCATCGGGTATGGATGTGTTTTTGTTCCTCTACCCAGTATTATTCATTAAAGAGACCTGAGACTATTGACCCTTTATCAATAATCCATAAAAAACCGTAACTATATATATCTTTATTTTGAATTTCTGATAAGATAAGGCTTTGTCATCTGAGGTTAAAGATTGGTATATAAAATTCCATATGATTTTTCCTGATTTATTTATTCTTTATGTGATAGCTGTTCAAATTCAGCTAATTTTTATTTTTTTATTTTTTTAAAATAATTTTAGTGCCAAATATTGCATGAGAAAATAGCTCATGTGCCATTTAATTTTTTTTACACGCAGAAAATAAATGTTTATTTATTTGAATTCGTTAGCAATAGTCTGCCTCGTAACAGTTAATGTAAGGGGGTGTTGGTGGCAGCAACAGTTATGGCGTTGACACAGCGCTCATTCATAAAAGTAAAAATAAAAATGACAAATTAAATTTCTTTGACTTGCTCGTCATCGGGTGAGGGGAATGTTGATTGAAATTGTCTGTAACAAAAAGAACAAGCCATTTTGCCAGTTTATAAACTGCACTGTTAATTGTATATATTTTTTAATTTTTATTCCATTTATGTTTAAATGGGTGATAACATTTTATCTTTTAATATGAACAAAACATAAAAATAAAAGAGTAATTTATTATCAGCTTGATATTACACCAAGCTACCTTTTTTTTTTTAAATCGCAATTATTTATTTTGCTTCCACCTCTTTTAAACCTTCGGTACCACCAGAAGTACTTGCTTGTCATCGGGTGAGTGAAAATGTTGATTGAAATTGTCGGTAACCAAAAGAACAAACCATTTTCCAAATTTTAAACGGCACTGTTAATTGTATATACATTTTAATTTTTATTCCATTTATGTTTAAATGAATGATAACATTTTATCTTTTAATTGAACAAAACATAAAAATAATAGAGTAATTTATTGTCAGCTTGATATTACACCAAGCTACCTTTTTTTTTTAAATCGCAATTGGATATTGATCATAAGAAGAAAAAAAAGACAAAGTATCAAAGTTCGATGTCATTTTAAATCTAAGAACAACTTGACACGATCGTCTATTCAAAAGTAGAAGTTCAGGTTCACTGTGTGCAATATATTATTTAAACCCATAACAAATATATACTAGATTTAATCTCTCTCTCGAATGTCTAATTGTATTATTATTTTGGGCACAAGAAACACACTGTATATCTAATGCTGATTACCTTGAGGTATTTCGTTAATACTAATAAATGTGAAATATCTGGTTAAAACGCTGCTCCTGCTTATGTGATTTAATGTGTTCATTAAATATTCTACAATGAAAGTGACCATTAAACTTCATAAAATTTGTAACTTCATAAAACTAGTTAGTTTACTGTCAAAGGGAAATATAAAAAAAATTCAATACCGATAAATCTTTTTTTTTCTCTCTTATAAACTGGCCAACAACCATCAGACTGATGTATTATTCTCTGCTATTTTGTATTAATCATGTTATATATTTTAAGCTTTCCTTAAATTAATTGATATTGTAAAATTGTGGAAATTGAAACAATTATAAAATCAAGCCATGGATGTATTTTTTTTAAACATTTGAGTGTATAGTATGACTTTAAACATAGTAGTGCCACCGTTTTAGTGTTCAGTTTCAAGCGATTTACCGTTTAATTTTTTTTTTTTTTTTTTTTTTTAATAAGCTTACATCAAATTGTTGTATATAATGATACGTTATCCATCACTGTCAATTGTGGAAATACATCGTTCCATATATCGATCAACTTATGATTTTTATGGCCACAAAAAAAAAAAAAAAATCCAACATAGTTGTAAAATAGGTAATAAAGGTTTTGTACTTTTGATATTTTATTGTATAAATGTATACATAACATTTGAAGAAAAGAAAGGAACAAATATTACATTTATCATATTTATTGTGTAGTCTTTTTTTTTAAATATAATATGTACACGAAATATGTAAGATAATTATAAATTATTTTAAATTACAAAATTTGTATCTGCAATGAAACATTACTTATAATCTTAGAATGAATAAGTCATTTTTTTATGTGGATGGGATTGTTTTCTTCCTTTCTTTTGTTTATGATTTTAGGAAGGCGACAAGACCAGAAAGCACAATATTTCTTTACTTGTAATTATATTAAACTTAATAATGTTACAAGTTTTTTATTTTCTAGATCTCAAATGCGACTAACATATGCATTCCTTGTTTATTTGTATTAATTTGTAACAAAACAAAGCTTGCTTTATTGTCAGATTCTTGTGAATCTAGAGCTAACTGATATGTATCATCGGTGTATAATACATACATTGAGTGCCATTATTGTCGTTAGATTTACCTATAAACTAGGTATACATAAACTCAAGGTGCGAACAGACTATGTCGGCTAATCTTTGCTCTTATTCCCATTTGTGTGTGTTTCCTATTAGTAAATTTCAGTAAATTTTCTATTGTAACAAATGTTATTGAAATTATACGAATCCACTTTAATTTTATTCGTACCACTGTAAGTTTATATGTATAAATTGTAGTTGCTACAATAATATAAATTAAAAATTGTTTTCCTTTTATTTATTTATGCCTTGAATACACACAAAAAAATGTACAATAACAGTCATAAACATGCAGAAAATACAAGTAGAAACAGTCAATCCTTTGCATTTTCTTGGGGTTAAAATATTTTAAAATGGAAAATAAACTTTATTCTGAATTCACTAGTTTTCGTGGTCCACTTGACCAATTAATTATCTTTCAATTAATTAAGGTTTTTTTTATAGTTGAGAAAAAAGCCAGTGTCACAAGCAGGATTCGAACCCACAATCTTCGGCTAGAAAGGAGGGAAAATTCAAAAGGTGGGGTTGAGCTGGGAAGTTAGTGTCCGAGTGGATCGAATTCACGATAGCTCAAGTGGTAGAGCAGCGGCGTATCTAGCCGAAGGTCGTGGGTTCGAATCCCACTCGTGACACTGACTTTTTTATCTCAACTAAAAAAAAAACACCTTTATTCTGCATCTTAAATTCCCCTTATTAAGTACGAATAAAACATATTCACAAAGATTCAAGCCTGATAAGGCTATATGGCTTTTCCCCCCATCAAATTAACCCTTTTGTACAGAATTTAACCTATTACTTCTTACAGTCCACTGGCAATTTGAGCTTTTGTGATTTATAATAAATTACCAGTAAGGGCTCGAGGGGCTACTAACTACTAAAAAACTAAGTTATTTCAGTCTCCAATGCAATCAGTTCCTAAATAATTTCTTACTTATTTACTCAGTAAGAGTAGTGGAGTACTTGATATTCCTCCATCACCCTTTACACTACATATTCACACTAATAAATGCATTCACTCTTAACACATGCTAGGGTCTCGAAACCATTCTTATATAAAACAATAATAATATAAAACAATCTTGTCTACTACAAGAAAAGGAACATGTACTCGCTGCTCTGCTCAAACACAATTCTCATATCGGGGTGGCATTTCTACATGCTCTCTATGCAATGCCAAGGAATTGCACCCTTCAACTAGGTGGGGCACATTGATCATCCTTTCTCTACATGTAGGACACATACGCAGGCTTTGGTCCAAAAGCAGGTGTCAGTGTGTCAACAATGAAAATCTTATTCTTAATTCCACTATTTTTCGTGGTCCGCTTGACCAATTAATATCATTCAATTAATTAAGGTTTTTACTTGATAAAAAAAGTCAGTGTCACGAGCAGGATTCGAACGCACGACCTTCGTTTAAATACGCCGCTGCTCTACCACTTGAGCTATCGTGACTTCGATCCACTCGGACACTAACTTCCCATCTCAACCCCACCTTTTGAATTTTACCTCCTTTTTGCCATTTTTATCTCAACTAAAAACCTTAATTAATTGAATGATATTAATTGGTCAAGCGGACTGTTGGTCCGAGAGTATCGAAGTCACGATAGCTCAAGTGGTAGAGCAGCAGCGTATTTAAACGAAGGTCGTGGGTTCGAATCCCACTCGTGACACTGACTTTTTATCTCAACTAAAAACCTTAATTAATTGAACTTATTCTTAATGATCTGGCCTACCGATGCTGCCACTAAACGTTTTTTATCCTGGATCCCGATAGTTAAGTCTGGAGGATGGTTGGGATGTCCCAGCCTTAGCTGCCTTCCCCCTTTTCCTTACCACCGAGACCTATGTGTCCGGGTACCCAGACAACAACCTCCGTTATGCCAAGATGCTCCAGTTCATGGTATTTCTCCAACAAGAGGATCAATGGAAAACCTGTCACGGACAGCAGTAATTGTGCTGAGGGAGTCTATGCAGACTGGTTGAGCAAATTAAAATTTATATAAAATTTAATATCAAAATAAAGAGTTCTTGTTTTATATAACGGTTAAAAAATTTCTTAACAATAGATGGAATATACAGGCTGAATTTTATTTATTATTATTTTTTATTTTATTGGGGCGTTTTTGTGAAAAACTCATATAACACTGAGTCATGTTTTAATTTTTGTCTAGTTTCAAATGAGCCAAAAAATTTTGACAACTTTCCATGATAGCTTTTCATAATTTCATCAATTTGCATTCTTTGGCAGGTCTTTTGAGGCTAATTCAACGGTGCAAACGGTTTTTCAAATTAGAGCAACTGTTTTCATGTTATTCGGAAAAAAACTTTAAAAAAATCTTCATGTATGAACCCATTTATTTATTTATAATTTTATCACCAGTTGATATATCAAGGAACTTAGTTCGTTTTGCACCTGGTCAATTCATCCAGTATTTGGTCTAGTTTTGTGTTTAGAACGTTTTGGGGCCGAAGTGAAGACTGCCTTCGTTTTTGCTAGTTTGTCAGGGTGTTTGTTGCCTTCACTTTCTTCCTGGCAGACCATCTTTGAATTGAAAGTGGTATCTAAAAGTGCTTGGCTTTCTGAGAATATGTGTGCGTTTTAATCCTTTTTTAAGTATTTCTTGTGGATAGAGGCTCTAGAGCTTTCGCTAGATCAATCCCTTTTATTCTTGCCCCCAATACTGTTCTATTTTATATCTATAATAAATCTATTTATTTCAGGGCTTTTATTCATCCAAACTTATTTTTTGGAAGTGTCTGTTAAAATTGACTTAATTTTAAGATTTTGGCTTTCTTTTAGGTCAGGTTTTATTTAATATTTTCCTAAGAGACTTTTGTATGCAACGGTGGCAATCCCAGTGTGAAAAAAGATGAAGATGAGCTGCACAGAAGCTTCAATTAAGAACATTCCTCAATAATTGTTGGTAATCAACCATGAAAATATCAAACATTGGCAAAAAATCTAAAACGTAATAAAGCTTTAAAAAGAATATCGTTCATTATCTACAAGATGTTATCATTAAATAGATATTCAAACGTTGATCTATCCCTCGGGGTTTTTATCAGTTATTGACCGATTAGGTTTTATTGTAGGCAAAAGAAAACAACATTGACATTTAAGAAACATTAGGTTCAAAGAACGGTGAAATGAGTCGTGTTAAACCTTTCAAAATGATCCCTGGGCCGGCATCTTTGCCTATACTCGGGAATCTATGGCTGTATAAATTGGGTAAAGATTTTTTTCTCTTTCTGATCATGACCACAGAATAGTGTACACGATTGCACTTGATATTAGTTAATAATTAAATTTTACACAGATTCACATGTCTTATTATATTCCAGTGAATAAAAAGTACATTTGTTTGAGAACAATGAGCATAAACGATATGAACAATTACTACTAAAATTAAAATTATATAAAAATAAATATTAAAATAAAGAATTCTTCTTTTATAAAATGTTTAAAAAAAACGTCTGCACAAAGACTGGAATAAACATGGTGAGCGTTAAAAAAGTCTACACAAAAACTGGATTAAAATAGTGTGTGTTATCTATTTTTTAAATTTATTTTTATTATTGTGGCACTTTTAGGAAAAACCCTGAGATGCATAAACTTTTAATTTTTGTTTAGTTTCTCACGAATCCAAAATTTATGATCTCACCCTCCATGACAGTTATAGAAATCCAAACTCCATCAATGTACATTCTTTGGCGGGTCAATTGACGCAGAATTCAATGGTGCAAACGGTTTTTAATTTAGAGCAAGTGTTCTCCAGTTATCCAAAAAAACTATACGGAAAAAACAAAATCTTCTTCAACCAAGAACCAATTTATTTATTTATCTTTTTAATTAATAACTGGTAAATTAATTGCTCATGTAATTTGGATAATGAAAAGGATTAAAAATAAATAAATAAAAACTCAGCCTGTATATTCTTTAGTTAGTTTTATTTTTATTTATTTATTTATTTTTTTAAATATATTGCAACAGCAGAGGTCATTTCAATCCTCGGGGTGTCGATTTGGAATCCAGTTTTTTAAGTCCATTATATAAAAGAATAAATTTTTTTTTAATGTTTAAATTACAAATTACAAATTAATTCCCAATTTTTCGTGGTCCGCTTGACCAATTAATATCATTCAATTAATTAAGGTTTTAAGTTGAGATAAAAAAGTCAGTGTCACGAGCGGGATTCGAACCCACGACCTTCGGCTTGATACGCTGCTACTCTACTCAATAGCTCAAATGGTAGAGCAGCGGCGTATCAAGCCGAAGGTCGTGGGTTTGAATCCCGCTCGTGACACTGACTATTTTATCTCAACTTAAAACCTTAATTAATTGAATTATAAATTAATATTTATTTATTTATTACATCTGTCTTATGCTTTAATGGCGAGAGGGAGTTGGACTTTTACAGTGATGTGTGTATAATATTAGAATTTACAATATTTAATCTTATATTGTGAAAATAGTAGTTTTAGAATATAATAAATTACAATATTAACAATAATTTTAATTAATTATACTTAATCTAAGGTCTTGGTTGACAAGAAAAAAGCAAATGTCATGAGCAAGCTTTTTCATCTCAACCAAGACCTTAGATTAAAGAAATTAAAAATAATTAATATAGTCAATTATGACTGCTAAATACATATATTAACAATAATGGGTGTATTTATAACTATAATGATAACCAAAATACTAATTGTAGTGATGATAACAAAAGAAATAATTAGAACTAATCATTTTAATAACAATAATTAATAGTAATAACGCAGTTAAAAATATGATAAAAGAAAGATGGCAGCGTCAGTGGGCGGGGTCGTCGGAGAGGCTCTTGCGAGTCAAGAGGACGACCGGTAGATGGCCCTCAGAGAATCTGAACAGGAGACGAGGGATCGCCAAAGCCTGCGCAGGTGCCCTTTATGCAGAGAAAGGTTGCTCGATGTGTCCCACATAATAGAGGCGTGTCATGCCTTGGCTCCATACAGAGAGCGTGTAGGCATGCCGCCGGATTTAAGAAGAGTCCTCGAGCACGGTAGCGAGTTTCAGAGTCCCCTGTTTCGCTTTTTAGGGGAAATTGGTTTTTTTTTATTGTATATAGTATGTCTTATGTGTTGTGTGTCTATATGTTTTGTCTGTGTGCATGTATTTATTAGCATGAATGGCGAGGGGTGAGGGTGAATATAACGTCATCATCGCCCCTCGAACGATAAAAGCGAGTGAGTGTGTGTTCGGGGTCGATGGCGGAATATTTATAAAAGTACCCCATTGACCCCAATCTAGTTTAGTTTAAGTGTAGGTCGGTGGAGGAATATCAAGTACTCCACCGACCAAACGGAATGAGCATACTGTATGGATGTATTTAAGTGTATAAATGTATTTATTTGTATGAACGTGTATAGAATATAGATTTAGTGGGGGCTGAAATGACCTAGATGTCGGAAGCCCCAGCAAAAAAAAAAAAAATAGTAATAACACTTGTTGAAATTTAGTGGAATAAACTAAAGTAATGAATAATTGCTCTGACTAATTGGTAATGGAAGCACACATAAAATTAAAATATTAATATTCACTATAATATTGTACAAATTAACAATTTTTATACAATAAAGATTTGTATGTATAACCTTACACGTGTATAAAATAAATGTATGTTAAAGTAATGTGATATTTACAACGGAGATGGCTGGTTTGAAATCAATAATTTAATAGTATACTTTACAAATTCATTGGTTTTCCATTAGCAGAGTTCTTTTATATTTTAAGTTAAGAGCTTTAGAACAGTATTTAGAAAGATTCAGTTTAGTTATTCAGAAGGCCAAATGTCAAATAAATTGTGTATATTTGGTGTTGCTGAGAGGTCGGGAAGATGGATCTTAAGGTGTTAAACATAGGGCATTCAAGCAGGAAGTGGTTTTTTTTTTTACCTTGAATTAGTGTACATCTAGCCATCTATATTCATTGCTTGATGCTACCGGCCCCCGGAAGGCGGCCCCCCGCCGAGCAGGAAGTCGCAATGCATCATATTGCAAGCCAAAACATGCAACACATTTTGTGACAAGATTAAATTGATTTTTTTTTTCTATTAAAGTTGCAAGGATTGCTTATTACTGACTAATCTTAATTGGCAGATTAGATGAAGTTTTTTTGTACTTTGAGTTTATTAACGCTTCAATGTCAGCAGATATACTATGGTTTTTAAATTTTTCAGTTAATTTTTTTTAATTTTTGGACATTGCGTTTGCCAACTTGTTGGGTATTTCGTGACTGCAAAACCGATTTTTTGGTCTGTTCAATTCTTGGAAATCGAAAAATCCTGAATAAACATCTGCAGTGATCAAATGTTCTTTTCGGTTCCAGTTGAACAAGACACATCCAATTATTTTGCAGGTATTTGGTATGTCAATAACTTTGAGTTTTTCTTTTTGAATGGATATACCAGTGGGACAACCCAACACAAAACTCTTGATATCTGTGGATATGTTAGACCAAAATAAATTTTCTCTACCCACTTTTAGGGATGCTTCTGTACCTTTATGACCACGATGAATTTTGTGAAGAATTATGGGTACTATTTTGTTTGGTACTACTATTTGGTTTCCTTTTACTATTATTCTTGGCTAATTGGCTAATTCTTCTCTGAAACTATAATAATTCTTCAACACTTCACAGAGAGATGTTTTGGTAAACAGCCATCTATCTATTATATATTTTTTGTAATTGCCCCATCACTGCATTATAATTAATAACATTTTTTATTTCTTCACATCTAAATTTTTAAAAATGGTATATTTATGTGTACTAAAATACCTAGCGGCTCATGTTTTTCTTCCTTATTGACGTAATCACTACTTATCCTAATTGACTATACACAATTCTGTGCCTTTTTTGTACGCTAGAATAGGATTATACGGCATAATTTCAAAAAGGGTTCTTTGTAGTGCTGGTGAGCTGTTGAGTGGTTTTTGAATATTATAGCCATTATATCAATAGCTTCTCCATGGGTTTGTGGTCCCTCTCAACAATCAAATTCGGGTCGCCGCAAATATAAACACAAAATTCTCATTTTAAACAACCCAGAAATCTTGAATCTATTCTTTTAAAATTAAAACATCCATTATTTTTGGACAGGTTATGAAGACCCGATATTTTTTCATCAGACAATAGATAATCTGTACAAGCGATATGGTCCGCTTGTCAAACAGAATTTGGGGAATAAAACTATAATACATGCTTTTTCCCCCGAAGATGCTAAAACTATTTATAAAAGTGAGGGGAAAATGCCTTACATCATGCCCTTGCAAGATACAATATTGTTATTTAGAAAAAATGAAAATTTGACATTAGGCTTGGGAAACAGGTACATTACAGTTTGAATTTTTGAAACTTTTTGTAGATCTTGTAATATATTTTTTTAAATTTTAGTAACGGTGATGAGTGGTACAGGCTGAGAAATTCTCTCAGACATTTGTTACTGACTCCAAAAGGAATTCAACATTTTACCAAAGGCACTGATTCAGTGACAAGTGAATTTGTCCATCATCTCAAGCGTAAAAGGAAAGAAAATGGATGTATACCAGAGCTAAAAACAGAATTAGCGAAATGGTCACTTGAAAGTAATGACATTTTGTCAAAAAGAATAGAAATTTATGATTAATTTTTTTTTAAATTTAAGCTGCTGGTTTGATGTGTTTTGGCTCTAGGAAAGGCTATATGAGTGAAGCGAAAAGGCAAAAAACTGAAAGTTTATTAAAGGCGAATAAGTCTGTCTTTTATCTCTCGACAATTTTAAAATTCTCTTTGCCATTTTATGAATACTGTTACTCTCCTGTGTGGAATCAACTTCAAAAATCAGAAACAGAAATATTGAAGTATGAAAATATTCCTCATTAGCAGTTGATGATGTTTCTCGTCCAAGAAATATTCTCGTTTTACTCATTATACATTTCTTTAGTGCGTCAGTTAACAATACAAAAGAAGCCTTGCAAGAAATAGAAGAATTGAAGGATGATGTGGATCTTTTGAACGAACGTTACAACCTGTTGTTGAATTTAATGCAAAAAGAAGAAATTGCGGAAAAGGACATATACATCCTAACCCAATCTTTGTTCACTGATAGCTTAACTACGGTAATGTTTTTATTATTCATAATTTGCAAAAAAAATTTAAATGTTTCAATGGCAAGCTGGAATATCAATCAACCCTCCTGGTTGGAAAATTTTAGATTTATTTACCTCGTATTTGTAAATGTTATCTTTATCTTTGATGTTTAACCGTTCCTAAAACAATTGAAATGCCCTTAGTCAATTAAAATAAACATTCATACTATTGAGAATATAACCTAATCTAAGTTTGGCGGGACTGCTGGGACCCCATCCCTACAACTATGCTAAAATTATGTTATTTACAACCTATAGTTGGGAGGGTGGCAAGGAGTTTTCCAACTTTCATTCATGCCAATAAATGCATTCATACAGAGTAAAAATCGGGCATTCATTTCCTAAGTTAACCTAGTAAAAGCGTAGTAAGTAAACCTGGTGTGGCCTACCTGCCGGCGAGTCAATATGATTCTTTATTTTTTCCCATTTCCCTACATAGCCCATGATTTAACCGATGATTTGTTCTTTACTTTGCACTTCACGGCCTATTTACTTATCAAAATCATTATTGCAGACTGTACCCGCGTTGATTTATAACATGTACTGTTTGGCGCTAAACCCAGATAAACAAGAAAAGGCATACAAGGAAATATCCAGGCTTATAAAACCAGGCGAACCTATAACAAATGAAATAATAAATGAACTATCGTACATAAAAGCTGTCATAAAAGAGACTTTCAGGTAACCCAATATTATCTCTAAATTAATATTATAACATAGAACTGAATTAATTTGTACATGTAGATGTAATGGACTGCTATTTAAGCCCAACGGCATCGTTCCTTTATCCTCAAATCTTCATCTTGCCAAGATTTTCAGGTTTGAGAGGGCTATTCACCCCCTCTAATCTTCCCAGTTAATGCATGTGTGCATGTATCCCCCAAGGTAGTGTCTTAGGTCCTGTATTCTATTCAGTTTACATCCTTGATATCCTCCAACTCTTATATATAAATTTACGGATAATATATCAATCATTTCCCCACATTCTGGTCCTGATGTCTTACTGAACACTTCAAGTACCCCCAAGTATACAACCACCTTGGAAAGAGAAGATCCCTGTGAACATCCTTCTCCCATACGATGGTACTGCATAATACCTTGAACTATTTTAGGAAAAACAAGGGACCCTCACACTAAAATACATACTACTCGCCAAACTATATGATTGTTGGTCTAAACTATCATTGACTAAAAAACATACAATAAATATAGACTATATAGACTTAGAACCCGATGTCACAACTGGAAACCTGCAAACCTTGAGCAGTGCTTCAAGCGATGGAAAATACAATGAACATACAAAAATGTGAACATTTTCAAGCTTCAAATAATAACCACTGGTCCCATCGAGTACAAAAACCCTCTCCATCTAGCTAATGTAAGCGAAGTAATTCCTGTCGTACAGAAGGGTTTAACGTCCAACTACAGGTTGGGTGTCGCGGACAAAAGTAATTTTACAATACATTTTTCATACTATTCTAAATTAAAAATGTGTGCCTAGATTCGAACCCAGGACTGCTAGCATGGCAAATACGAGATTGACGCCCTAACCACTCGGCCACCCTTGTCCCCAATAATAACCAACTAATATAGTACACTACCTTGGGCTGTTGACAAACAATTAAATAGTCATTTCAGACTTCTTAAAAGACTGCTGGCTTATCTATAACACCATTCCACCCTACGACAGTATGTCACCTTGGGCTATTTCTGTACGAGTGACCAACATGGAATCCACAATACTACTCAGACTACTTGACTGTCATTAATTAAATAAACTCAGAGTGAAAACTTCTTAAAAAAAAGAAATCTATTTATAAAAAGAGATATAGAGTCCGGCGTTGACAGTACAATAATGTTCTGGGTGGGGATGTTAGTATCTCGTGTACACCATCACTTCCTGTAACTTTGACATAAATCCATTATGGACATAAGGACTAGAACTGTTTTAACTAAACACTCCAATATCGTAGAAGAACCAACAATTTAAGATCCTCCCAAAAAATAGTTGATCCTTTCTACTCATCCAACAGGCGTTTTCTGTATGAGCCCAAAACATGGGCAATCAAACTCATTAGGGAAGTACACTTCGGTCTTTCAAGCAGAAATACATGCCAATCAATGCTTGTGCCCTGGAAAATCTTAAAAGAGGTTACACTGACAAAAAATCCTCATAAGATCAGATAGCCAAGCAGCCACTAAAGCATTAGTATGTAAAAGAATCACATCAAAATTAGTCAGTGAATGCATCCAAAATCTCCAAAACCTGGGGAAACACAACAACCTTGGGTGCCAGGACACAGAGGAATTTTGGGTAACGAGAAAGCAGACAGACTGGCCAGAGGAGGATCAGCAATACATACATAGGCCCCGAACCTATTCTTGGGATAACAAGAACAAATATAGAATCCTCCATCGCAGAATGGATCCAAGCAAAACAAAAGGAGAAGTGGATAAACTCTAGCGGTGCTAGCCATAGTAAACTTATGATGAAACAACCCTCACCGAGGCAAAAGCACTGCTGCAATTGGAGAGGGCCAAACTCAGAGGAGTGATAGGACTACTAGCCACTGGCATCTGAGAAAACATCTACACATCATCGTAGTAAATGATCCCATTCGCAGATTATGTAATGAGGAGGAGGAAACAGCCACTCATATCATCTTCGAATGCAAAGCAACAGCTTAATGGAGGTTTAACGGAAAAATCTTAGGGAATCAAATTGTAGCAGCGACAGTCAATGACCTGATACTTCTAAGAAGAAGGATTGAGTCTATTGACTGAACTAAGGAATTAGGAAGGTACCATAAGCCAAAAGGCTGCAGTGCCTGGGGAGTGCAAACCCCGCTTCCTAGTATCCTTTTCTACCATACCATACTCATCCAATCTTAAAGCGGCCAATAATATTGATTGTGTAAGGTGAAAAAAGAGTATTGACATTCGATATTGAAGCGATATTGATGAAATCTAGATTTTCTGATCTCGGGGCATCAATATTTAAAATTGGAGGGTATATTGTCAATATTACTGAGCATCTAGGGTCAATAATATTGCCAATACTCAGTTATTGTCGAGCTTTCATAGGAATGGAAGTGCTTTGTGCGGAGTATTCAGACAATGTCTGAAGACAGTGAAGCAGTAAATGGGTGGAAAAATAATGTATGTGATGAGGGGACTGAGCGCCTGGATGACGAAGCCCTTTGAGCCTTTATTGAGCAATTTGAACAGTCTCCAGTACTGCGGAATTGTGCAAACCGTAAATACAGTAATTAAAACAGCTAGGACGGCTGCGCTTGACCACCTCATCCCTTTTTTAATGAGAATAAAAAGCTAGGGGCCAAAAGAGAAGATGTAATAAGGAAGGAAATGAAAGAACTAAAGAGAGTGCTACATCAAAGAGTCTGGAAAAATCACAGAAGAGGTGTAAACACCAACTGCATGGACATTCTACGCTGTCATTTCTTGAAAGATTTGAAAAGTCGGTTAAGCAGCAGCCAAGTGAAGCAGAAGCAGAGGGTAAGTCATGTTTTCGTTTTAATTTACCTACATTTTTCTGTATACCTAAACCTAAGTTGTTCTTATCTTTTACCTATATTTTGATATCTAGGATTTCCAAGACTAATTAAGAATTTTCCAAAACGAATTGTGCAAATTAATTGGTTGAAAAACTGTTATTTTCATTTAAAAAAATGCTAATTTGGTTGAAAAAATTCCTAATTTTTCCTTTTATCTTTTCTTTGTGCAGTAAATATTGTACCACTTATGTTATTTGATTATGACATCAGGTGTACGTTTAGGTACATTGTAATTTTAGAAAAAGTGTAATAAAAAGTCAACTGTTAAAATTCCTCAAAATAAAAAAAAAGCTAGAATGCATGGAATGATTACTAAACAAAATGAATTTCTACAAAAGGAATGTTCATATTTAGAAAACTCAACAAACCCTGACAGCAAAATACAACTATCGCAAAAGCTTGGGGAGAAAAACTGCTCACTTTGGATGCCAAGCAGAGACAGTTTGCTGAGAAATCAATAAATGACCCGCTTTTTAAGCAAGCTGGGGCACTTTCCATCGCAACTCCGTAAAAATAAATGAAGTATGCCAACGTACAAGCCCTCTAAGTACCACACAACCGGGAACAAGTTGTGGCAGCATTTCATCCTTCTCCACATTTAATTACTCTTCTCCTACTCACAGTGGTAACCCATCACAACCGTTCATCCGTGATAACCCACCACAACTAATTAACAACCAACATCAGCAGCGACTTTTTTCAACACCTTCACAGATTTAGACTGATATACTTAGGTAAGTAGGAAGGTATCTGGAAAATATATTTAAAACCGTTACTTTCATGTAGTTTCATAGGACATGAACAAAAGTTTCACACGTTTCAATTTTTTCACTGATAGTTGCAGACATGATGACAGAGAACTTCAAATCTTTAAAATGTCTTCCTGCAGCTAAGTACCTCAGGGTTAAGGCTAAACTCTCATTAACAGGGATGCATTCCCTTATGTTTGTGTTCTGCCTTCTCAAGAGTGGTTCCACCAACTGTAATAATTTTATGAATGTCCCTTCTTTCATTCTGAAGTTATTGTGAAAATCTTCCAGATCTGTCAATCTGATTCTCCTCAGCAGCCTCATATGAGAATATTCTTCATGTTTCTTCAACCACTCTTTCATCCATCGATTTTGCGTTGAACTCGACGAATAATTCTGATAGCCATAATTATGGCTACACAAACTTTTTTTCGATTGTTCATGTTTTCAAAACACACCATGCCACGAAAATTCACTTCCAATTTCACTTGTCCGAATGGTGGAAACAGTTTCATGTATAATAACACATTTACTTATTATAATTTTATTAAAGTTGTTATAAAAAAATTATCATCATGATCTGATGATTAAATTTCCAGATTTTACCCGGTTGGTACTGAGATTTCACGAATTTTAAAATCAGATGTCATTCTTTCAGGATATGAAGTACCAAAAGAGGTAAACAAAACATAAAACTTATGTTTAATCGCTTTAAAAACCTTTGCAAGCTTTGATCCAAAATTATTGTTTAGACGCATGTGAATATCAACATGAACAGTAATTTTTTTAAAGAGGAATATTTCAAACAGCCGAAATCATTTCTGCCAGAAAGGTGGCTGCGCTCGAATGATTTCAGTTCTCAAACTGATCCTTTTGTACTGACTCCTTTTGGTCACGGAGCAAGAACCTGCCTGGGTAATGTTAGATTGTACAATATAAGTTAACCCAATTTTAATTTAATACATCTGTATTTTAGGAAGAAGATTTGCGGAACAAAACCTCTACATCGCTTTAGCGCATTTACTATCAAACTTCAAATTTTACTTGGAACCATCAGATTCATCGATGATCCAAATTTTCAATATCTTATTGTTTCCATCAAAATATCTAAATATCCGTTTTCAGTTAAGGTGAAATAAAGATTAATGCAATAAAGCACTAGTTAAATAAAATCAATTTTTAATTTTATAAAAATTACAATAATAAAATTGTTTTTTATTATCTTTTAAAATGTGTATATGAATCTCAAAATAAGGGTAATAATGTTTACATGTGATTTAATAAAAGTAAAGAAATAAAAACAGAATGTTTATTAAACTTAATACCCAATAAAGTTTTCTTCCTTTCTATAAGGCCACACTGATGTGATTCTGAATGCAATAAAAAACGATGTTTTCTTATATTTTGACCTCAACAGTTAATCTTATGATTCTTCCTTCTTGAAGGTGGGTTAATAGGCCATCTCAAAAACCCACAACCAGTTTTTATCCACAACGTTTCGGATTTATTTTAATCCTTCCTCGGGTGAGTTAACGCAATGGTTAAAAAAAGTTAAAAAAATCTAAATTGTTATAAAATATTAATGACTGACGACCACTTTTTTTAACCAATGCGTTAACTCATCTGAGGAAGGATTAAAATAAATCCGAAACGTTGTGGATAAAAACTGGTTGTGGTTTTTTGAGATGACCTATTATCCCATCTTCAAGAAGGAAGAATCATAAGTGCAATACAAAAGTCAACAAATAAAATACTGTGCCAACTTATCCCTTCCTGAATCGCTTGTTTAAGCTCTTTTATGCTTTGATATTGTCCATTGAAAAAAAAAAAAAAAAAAAAATTGCTTGAGGATGGCACTTTCCTCCACTTTTCTTTGAGCGAGAATCAAACAAGATGAAAATCGTAATAAACCTGATTGACTGGTGCTCACTGGAATAAATCACAAAAAAAATTCTTCATAATTGTGCTAAGAAGTCTTAAAACCTAACAGCCAGAGTTTTTTATTATTATTATTTTTTTAACTAAACCAATTTATTTTTATTCAGGCAACGCCCCTCGTTCTTCTTCAGAGTTCACTATTTTGCTAAATTGAATTGGGTGTTCAAGCCAAAGGTTGTGTGCCTTGCATACAAAAATAATAAATTGGTGTGTTTAGGAGTCGGCTACTTTGAGGCCCTGAAGATGATCTCAATAAAGAGCGAAATGTTGGCACGATAAAGAAAATGTTTTTTAAAACCCCCCCTTACACCAGACAGCATCTCACAATCTCTAAATAATCTAGTTGTTGTTGTTAAAGGCCAAGTTTTTGCTCTTGTACAAAGTTTTATAGATTATGCCCGTCTAGTCCCTTAACATGCTTATATTTTTTATAACTTCAATAAAATTCGAAAACTTTTCATTAAGCATACAGTTCATTTCAGTGGGATGGTGATTATTATTGCTATTCATTTGACTACTGGCTTTCTTTACCTGATACCTCCTGAATCTAGGATGAAACTGTTCGCAGTTATCTTTATTTCGAAACTATTCCATAATCACATTGATTGTCCAAAATTACTAGGTTTAATTTCATATCACATAACTAATAATAGAACACAAACAAAAGCAAGTCTAGTTCCCTTCCATAGAACAACTTATGGAATGAGGACTTCTTTATTTGTTGTCAGTAATAAATTCATTTAATGTTTCCATTCATATTCATAATTTCCGAAGTATTAGGATTCCGAAGAGCTAGGTATTTGTATTCTAAAAAAATAAGTTAATATTTTTCAATTAGTTAAGGTGTTCAGTTGAGATAAAAAAGTCAATGGCACGAGCGGGATTCGAACCCATGATCTTCGGCTTGATACGCCGCTGCTCTACCACTTGAGCTATCGTGACCTCGATCCACTCAGACACTAACTTCCCATCACAAACCCATCTTTTGAGTTTTCCTTCCTGTTGAGATGGGAAGTTAGTGTCCGAGTAGATCGAGGTCACGATAGCTCAAGTGGTAGAGCAGCGGCGTATCAAGCCGAAGATCGTGGGTTCGAATCCCGCTCGTGCCATTGACTTTTTTATCTCAACTGAAAACCTTAATTAATTGGTCAAGCGGACCATGAAATTAGTGAATTGAATAATGAATGTAATGAATAATGATAATAAGTTAATATTTTTTATTTATAATGCATTGTTTTCTATGTTTTATTTATAATTATGAGTTGATATGTTTATATTTATATTATATCGTTTTGTGTTACTAGTTGGGCATTTGCTTGTTATTGTATTCCACCAACATTCTAGATTTAAAATATTTTTACCACCAAATTAAGTTAAAATTAATATAAAAAAATAAAATTTGAATTATGTTAATGTTTAATTGCTAATTTGTCATGTACAGGAATATCCAAATAGTGATTTTATCTTGGGGTTATTTTTATTTTGGATATATTTCGAGAGAAGAAACCATATTCACAACGTAAGATACAGATGCCAATAGAGGCCGGAAAATACTTTGCCTTGATATTTCAATGTTTTGTCTTTGTTTTTTAATATAATTAACTAAATAAAGTTGAAATATATCTTGTTAATTAACTACCAGTAAGTATTATTTCTTGGAAATAATAGTAAATTTTGGATTTAGGGTGGAACAAAAAGATAATTACACTTTTTATTGAATATGATAAGCAAGACAAATATTTATTACATCTAATAGCCAGTCAAGGCCTCCCTTTCTACATGGCCACAAATTGTAAATAGATGGCAGAATTCCAGGGTGTTCTTTCCAATATATGGTCCAGTAATAGCATGAGGTTTTCGGAGCGAACACTGACAACAGAGAGGTTTCCTATGTACAAGAAGTTCGACCGAATTCTTGAGTGTTCTGCTTGACGAATGAGAAACATGGAAGAATACTAATACGAAGTATCTCCCCCGTTTCTTCAAACTCTGAGGTGAACTTCTGTTCCATAACTGTACCCCCTTGATACAGCTGCCAGAGGGATACAGAAATGTGTTCTCTGTGCAGTACAAGGGAAAAGAAACTATCGTGCACTTTTTAGTTAATTGTGCCTGGTTTTACTGCTGGGAAATGGTACAAGAGTTTCATTTTTGATTTATTAGAATAAATTTTTGCTTAATTAATTGTATATAAATTTATTTTGTCCTGTGTTCACCAGATTCTTTTTTTTTTCTTTCTGATTATATTATAAAATACAGAGAATATTATTATATTTTATTGGCTATTTCATTATTTTTTATCAATATTTCTTTAGTAAACTAGACTCCAAGCAGATAGTATTCCATTGCTGGAAATACTTCTGTTTTTTAAAATGGTACGTTTTTTCTTGTTATGTACATTATTTGTTAAATAAAGTATTATTATTTATTTTATTTTATTCTTTTACGAGCGTTCACAACAGCAGAGGTCATATAAACCCTCACGGTGGTGGTGTTTTTGAAAAAAAACAACAACAAACATTTGTAAGTATGTCGGGTTCGAATGCAGGGCCACTGGATTCGAACCCGGGACCTTTACCTTACAGAGATGAGCGCCGCATCAACGCCTAAACCGTTGCAACCATAATCATGTATTTTATTAAGAGTTTATTTTATTAATACGGCTTTGGAGAAATTTGTCATACCTGATTAATTTTATTTTATTGATTTATTTATGATTTTAAATTAAGATATTTTTGTTCAATAAAGTTTTTAATAAGTTACTTCATTTTTGTTTTCTGTCTTTAAACTTGCATGCTGGTGGAGATCACATTAGGGTAATAAAATTTTATTTTGAGAAGACTTATTTTATGTTTCATTTTGGGTTTTGAAGGCCATTTCATAGGGCGACTGACATAAGGGCATCACATAAATATGTAATTTGGTCATTTCCTTTCATCCTGATCTGCCTGATGGTGAAATCAAGGTCAAAGATGACAAGTAAGGATCAAATTATATGTTCATCACTGAGCATGTTTATGAATTTGTATTTGGTTTCATTTATAAACAATCACAAAGCGTTCTACCTTTTTTACCCAAAACAAATCCCAAATTCTTACATCCTAAAATTGATCAATAATCTTTTTTTCATTTAGTACAATGTAGCTTAATAAGCCCTTTTAAAAGACAGACGAGTATGCAGTTTGATTCCCTACACGAGTTGACACCTCAGAAACATATAAAGCTCAATTTTTAATTTTTTAAACTATACTTTGCTGATTGCTCATTAGATGTTACAAATTTTGGGTATCCCATGTGCACTCTCCTATATTGGAAAAATAATAGAGACCCAGCACTGAAGATGATAAAAAGCAGTAATGCTGTTCATCCTGAATTGCCTATTTTAGCTGTATTAGTGAACATATATGACATATATGTATGGACTGTTCCTGGAGATTGTACATTTTACTTTGTTTATATGGGGTATCAAAATAATGCCATAAATGTTTGAGTCAGGTTTTATTATAGGGTTAGGGGCTATAAACATTTTAGAATTCAGCCCATCGACATTGTAGAGGTGTGGTGTGGCAAATTCGACTAAACGAACCTAACAAAAACCATAATCCATTACGTTTAGTGGTCTAATTGACAAATTACTTCTTTCAATTAATTATTCTTTTTATGTAAGGTCTCGGTTGAGATGAAAAAATTCGTGTCACGAGCGGGATTCGAACCCACGACCTTCGGCTCAATATGCCGCTGCTCTAACCACTTGAGTCATGATGAGCCGAAGGTCGTGGGTTCGAATCCCGCTCGTGACACGAACTTTTTCATCTCAACCGAGACCTTACATAAAAAGAATATATGATGTTTGTTAATCAACCTGCAGATAATCTATAGGGTTCCAATCTTTGTAGAGGTCATTAGACGGGGGAAAACAAGACTAAATGCTGGGTTCACCGAGGTTTCGGCACTTTATAATGCCATCATCTGGGCCTATTTTATTAAGAATTCAAATAAATAAAAAGTAACATGCAAAGTACGTATACCATTTAATTACATTAATTGTATATTACTTTTTATTTATTTGAATTCGTAATAAAATAGGCACTATAAGAGGCAGATGATGGCACTTTAAAGTGCCGAAAGCTCGGTAAACCCATTAAAAAAAACCATATTTTTTTCCAAAAAACGCAATCTTCTGTAATTCAAAAATCTTCTGTATGTCGGTAAAGGAAAAAATAATCCGGATTACCAAAATTATTATTATTTTTAAATATAAGAATGGCAAATCATCAAAAGAGAAAAAGGGAAAATTAAAGATCACGAATGAACCGGTGACCGATCCGAGCAGTTCATCGTCGTGACTCGTTCATTTAAGTTGAATCGTTCAAGAACGACCGAGTGGGCGAGAACCGGTCGGCGGGCAGATGGTTTAATTTCCATTGACTTTTCAGTTGTTTCACAATCTGACAATTATTTTTTCCCCCAGATTTATTTCACGTTTTATTGAATTTTACCATCGAAACTAAGTGTTTTTTTATTGTTTTATTTTCTACTCTATCCGGTAAGTTAAATTATATCTAATTTGATAAGTGTTTGTTGATTTGTCTGTTCCCCTTGGTGACTCGTGTGGTTTTCTTTCTTAAATGTACTTTTGTCATGATAATTGTTGTATTTTCGAAGAATTTAGACTAAAGAAACGTTATTTGTTAAATAAAAAAAAGCTGTCGCTCACCCCACGAGGTTTTACAGGCAATAAAAGAAGGTCCGAAGTATTCGTGTGTCGCATCTATTATATACATTTCAGTTGTTTTCTAAAGTCCAGTAAATTAGGCAAAACGAACTTACAGTCAATACAACGTCCATGGAGATTTATGCTTGTTATTGAAGAAAATAAAGGCATTCGACACAAAATTCTTGTTGGCCATGTGGAATTTTGTACGTACAAGTTGTCTGTTTTATCAAAATTGGTTATACATTGTTGGTCCGAGTCAGTCAAAGATCATGGGGTGATGGATCACTTTTACTCCCTATTGGTATAAAGAAAAGCGGCTGTTTTTGTCTGTTTCTCTCTGTCGATGATCTTCTGCTGTACGAGATTGTTCAACCTTAAGGTAACACACACTACTGTCGCCAGATTGTGTGGAACAAGCAATGCAAGGCTAGCACCGACACAATCTGCGGATAGGTTTGGACAAGTAGGTGTACAGGGGGTCCTTTAAACTCCCTCCAAAAGAAAAACTAATGTGCGCGGTGATTAACTAAACAAAAATAAACAAGATTGGACTAAATAGAAAATGCACAGACCAACTGAAGATGATGAAATGTCAGAACGCATCTAACACACCAATCCAGCAAGGATGGGCAGACCAAGATGATGGATACACGATAGAAAGTAAAAATTTATGTTTTGGGTTAAAAAGCTAGAACACATACAGTTGTTTATAAATAAAACCAAATACAAATTCGAAAACGTGATAATAATCGTGAGGTTTTCTCCTGCGGAATGCTTGGTGATAAACTTATAATTTAATCCGTACTGATCATTTTTGTTATTGATTTTGCTATCAGGCAGACCGGGATGTAGAAAATGACCAAACTACGTAATTGTCTAATTTTTAAAACGACTTATAAACAAAATTGGACTAAAAATTAATCACAGACCAACTGAAGTTGTCTGAAATGCAGAAAAGCGTCTGACAGACCAACCGAGCAAGGATAGAATGATGAAGTGAACACCAACTCTCAGTCCTTTGTGTAAAGAAGGACTGAAGAAATTTGCACCAGCACATTTGGTGGAGAGGAGTCAGGTTAACGACCAATATTGGTCTATTGTCTAATCTACATTATTATCTAGAGCTCTTTGTTAAGCTTAAGGCATTTTATCAGATCCCAAAACTTTGGTATGTGCGTATCTTTCAGGTTTTTCTTATGCCATGAGTATGAATCTCAGCCTGCGCTTTTACACCTACACAGGATATCTTCCACTGTTTTTTCTTATAACTGGCGTTATCTGTACAGGTTTGTTTCTGTTGCTCTTAGCCTCTCAAATCAGCAGTGTCCATTCTCAGACAAAAAAATTAATTTGGTGTTCTGGATGATTTCAAATCGTAGAAGAGCTGAAACAAGCTATTTAGGATGGATAAGTTAGCGCAATAATTTATTTATTGTCTTTTTGATTGCTTTAAGAATTTTATGGTTGTGGCTTTGTAGAAAGGGAGTCCTTTACTGGCTATTAGGTGTAATAAATATTTGTGTTTCTTTATCATATTCAATAAAAAGTGTAATAATCTTTTTATCCAATCCTAAATCTAAAATTTACTATAACTTCCAGGAAATAATAGTTATTGGTAGATAATTAATAAGGTGAATTTCCACTTTAGTTAGTTAATTATCTTAAAATAAAGACAAAAGATGAAATATATAGGCAAAGAACACTCAGTTGCAAAAAAAAGAAAAAAAAACATCCCCTTGATTTTCTAAATTAAATTCTTTACTGCTGCTTAATATGTCCCTTTTCTAGCCTAAGTTTGGTGTTTAAATAATAAGAAAACTAAACAATACGACTTGTGATTTAATAAACACCCAAGAAGTGTAAACACACAAAGAAGTGTAAACAGACAACACAAACATTGAAAAGAATTAAACCCTTTCAATGGTTATGGTGAGTCTCTTTACAACTCGTGGTTGATTAACTTAAACTTTTCATTAGTATCGAATAGTGTGGTACTTTTTGTTTTAATATAATTAAAAATGACTTTTTTCCAAGCAGTTGATTTATGCGATTGTGCTTGATTTGTGCGAAATGAGCGTTCAATTCAGTATGCGGCTAATGCAAAGGTAACGTATTGGACCCTTTGAGGATGACAGGAGGCCAGGATCTGGCCGACCCAGAATCACTGGAGAGTGAGAGGATCGGTTTTTGGCGTCTTATATGCTTTGAGACCGGCGCTCTACATCGGTCCAAGCTGCTCATCTAAGTCTAGAAAAAGTTAAAGGAGTTCATGTATCGAAGTGGACAGCCCTAAGACAACCGCACAAATGTGGTTTGACAGCTTACCACCCAGTGAGTGGACCTCAGTTGACCAGGGAACACCGAATAGCTCAATTTTATTTTGGTCAGGAACACCTTCGCTGGACTTTGGAGCAATAGTCCACTGTTTTTTTAATTGATGAGTCTCGCTTCACTTTCAGAGCTTCTGATCAATGTACAGAATTGGTGTGGTCCGACATTGACGGCTGCCCAATATATTGAAACCATCCTGGAGCAGCATGTGCTCCCGATTATGAATGTCGGTGGTGAAAATGTAAATTTCATGCACGTATTGTTGTGAATTTTTTTCAAGAACACAGTATCAGTGCTTTGGAGTGGCCAGCTCATTCTTCTGACCTTAATCCGATTGAACATCTGTGGGATATGCTAAAGAGATGGAGTACAGCTAGGACTTCCCTTCTGGAAACACTGCAACACATAGAGACTTAGCTTGTTGAAGAGTGGGCTAACATTTCGCAGAATCAGATTGAATCCCTTATTCAGAGCATGCCAAGAAACATTCACGCCATAACTAAAACCCATGGTGGTAACATCTCTTACTAAAAATGCCCTTTTTGTTCATGAAATAAATTTTTATTTGGATTTTTCCCCCTTAAATTTCTACATTTTCCATACATTTTAATATTTGAGGTCCAGTACTTCAGAAAACTCATTATTTACTTCAAAATTTCATTAAGCAGCAACAAACAATTTTAGAAAATCAAGGCGGCCTGGTTTTAGCAGTAATAAAGAATTTAATTTAGAAAATCAAAGTGGTTGGTTTTTTTTGCAACTGAGTGTATTAGGCTGAATTAAGTGTCTATTTGTTCCAGTCCTTTATTGGCATCTGTGGCTTAGGTTGTGAACATTGTTTCTTCTCTCAAAATTTGTCCAAAATAAAAGCAACCCCAAGATAAAATCACTAATATTCCTGTACATGAGAAATTAGCAATTAAACAGCAACATAACAATTTTTTGAAAACTTTGCCTTGGTAATTTCAAAACCTGCCAATTGCAATATAACAAGATCTATCCATTAATCGTACTGTCCTAGTGCCTATTATGTGTTTGTGCTAAGGCATCATAAGTTTAAAAGAAGTGTATGGACTTCTTTATTTTTTCCCTCGTTATTGTGTCTGAAACCAGCTCGTAACTAAAAGGTGAAACTTAACTCTGCCATTCTATATGTGAATATGTAATTGTTAAGAGGTTGTTGTAGATTTTGTGATATAAAGGTCTGACCAAACATTTATAGCGTTAGTTTAAGATATATATATAATAAAATGTACATTCTCCAGGAATTCAATTTTTAACCATAGATCGTTTTGTTTCAGGAAGAAATAAAATGACGGCCATCGATCAAACACAACTGATTGATTCGATTGTGAAGACAGTCGAATCGCAAGTCGATAAAGAAATAGAAAAATTAGACAGTTTAAGTGGATCCGATCTTGAGCGCATCCGAAATGAAAGACTGGCTGCGTTGAAGAAAGAGGCAGAACAGAAAAGGTTATGGCAAACATTGGTAAGGTAGAAATTATTTCTAATAAAAATTTTCCCATTTTCCTTGAGATACTTAAAAAAAGTATGCTTTGTGATTTTTTTAAAATATTTACACCCACTAATACGTACAGGGTGAGTTCAACTTCCGTTTCCCCATATATTTTTGAAATTATTATTTGGGCCTTTTTTGAGTAAAACCCTGTGACCCGTAAACTTTTATTTTTTGTTTAAATTCTCATGAGCCAAAAAGTTTGGATCTAACTCCAGGATAGTGGGATATGAATAGTGCCTTACATAGTTCAAATGGCATCGATGCACTTCTTTGGAAACTTTGAAAGGGTTTTTGATGCTGAATTCAACGATGCATGCATGTTTTTGATTTGGATGTCGAATGATGGTGAATTGAGGGCAGCTATAGAACTTGAATCGAGTCAAACATGTCAGGAGCTTGCCAGTGTTCATTGTAAGCGATGAAACCATTCTCCCTAGCTTACATCGACTTGGGAAGATGTGGAAGCTGAGCAAATAGGTTCTTCATAAATTGAACAATGGTAACAAGGTTCACCATCTAAACCTTTCATTGCTTTCACAGCACAAAGTAGAGAATTTATTGACCGGATTGTCACATGCGACGAAAAATTGATCCTGTATAGTAACAACAGTAGGTTGTACCATTCACTGTCTCCAAATGACCCTGTCATGTTCAATGTGATTAAAAAAACATAAATAAAATAAGTGACTCTTAAAATTAAAAGTATAAAACATAAAGTAGTTTTAATTTTTTTTTTCCTTTGTTTTGGAACATTCATCAAGAGTATGAACCTATGAAATATCAAATTCCATTTTTTAACATGACTAGAAATTCAGAATCATAAAGCAATAAATAAATAACAAGTAACGAGAGCAATAAATATTGATCAACCACAATAAGTACTAAAAATCAAAAATTTGGTACGAAAACAACAACAAAGGATAAATAAAGACGAACAAATAAAAGTGCAGACCTATCAAATAACAAATTACATTTTGACAAATCTAACCATTTGAAGACACAACTAATAAATAAATAACAAGTAACAGAAGCAATAATTAACTATCAACTATCTACAATAAATACTACAGGCTAAATAAAGATCAAACACTCGGGAAGCCAACAGCCGTCCTACGAGGAGGGGATCCCCGCCAGCTGCAGAACGCCAGCCCCAGGGAGGCTCTCGTCCACACTTTACACAAATTAAAAGGCTACTGTTCTTCATAAAACATTTTTTTTCTTCAAATCTTGATTTGTCAAGTTTGAAAGTCTCATGTGAATTCCGAAAAGAGAATAAGTAGCTATTTATGTCAAATATATTATTTTCCCTTCAAATGACTGATTGAACAGTCTAAATTTATTATTGCATGCTACTGAACACTGAATATTAATGAGTTCATTAATGGTTTCAAAAAGATAACAGGTGCCAAAAAATGCACCTAAATTAATCTGTCGACTAGACAGAATTGTGGAAATGTGCAGGGTTCATACTGACGCGAAAACCAAATATTCACCAACAAAAGATGTTGCTTTGTGTTCAGTGAAAGCACTGTGCACTATGAACCTCACCGCAGAAATCTACTCAAGCCGACTGCAACTAGTATTTCTTGCCCTGACCCATAAACAACCTGCTTTTGTGAACAGAAAAGGTACGTTTTCACCAGGACAACACGATACCTCATACAGTCCAGGAAGATAGAGGAGGTGATGAAGCTTGGTTGGGAAGTCCTACCACACCCTCCGTACTCTCCAGACCTGGCCCCCAATTGACTTTCACCTTTTCTTACCAATGGACAATTGGGAGTTCAATAATCGCCAACAGCTGGAAAATAAGTTGAAATTTTGTCCTGGGAGCCAAACTTGTATAAGAATGGCGTAAGCAGGCTAGTAACACGTTGGGAAGAAAAGACTGTAATGCTGATGGGGATTATTTCCTCGAATAAAATATTTCTAAACTAATTTTGATTGTGACAATTATTAAATCTAACATTTTTTTTATGAGGGTGTATCAAGTACGAGGTTATATGAAACCTTGGGATGTTGGTGTTTCTGAAAAAAAGCCCATTTGTATGTCGGTACTGTTGTCAGTGTGTAAGTGTAAACAGTGGTCCTGAATTCGAACCTTACAGTGATGAGTGTCATTTTAACAACTTAACCATTGTGGCCACTGATGCTCCTATTAAACCCTTTAAACTCCCATAAACTATTCTGGTTACCTAGTATAATCCCACAACTTTTATGTAACTTATATACATTTTAATGTATTCAGGTTTGATTTTTATTTTATGCTGCTTGTATCTACTTTCTTATATTTTTTGTTTTTCTTTATAGGGCCATGGTGAATACTTGGAAATAGACGAAAAAGATTTTTTTTATGTCACAAAAAAATCTGGCAAAGTTGTAGCACATTTCTACAAGAGTGATGCTCCCCGCTGCAAAATATTTGACCATCATATGAAATTGTTAGCGCCAAGGCATATGGAGACGCGTTTTGTCAAACTTGACGCAGAAAAATGCCCTTTCCTCACAGGTAACGGTTCTAAATTAATCTCAATTTACACGAATAAAACTTAACGAATTAAATTACAGGAAGGTTAAACATCAAAGTTATCCCTACACTTCTGATCGTTATTGACAACATAACAAAAGATAAAATCATTGGATTTACCGAACTCGGTAATTGCGATGATTTTTCGACAGAAATGCTCGAATGGAGGCTAGGGAAATCGGCCGCAATTAATTACGATGGCGACTTATTGCACCCACCAGAAAAGTTGAAAATGCACCAGAAGATACAGAGAATAAACAAAAAGACCTCCGCGATTAGAGGACGTGAAAGCGATTGCTCAGATAGCGATTAAACTTTTACTTGGAAAAACACTAACACTGGCTTACCTGTCTACCTTTATTGTATTGCTTCTACTTGAAAATAACACGTAATAATTTATACACTAAAATATAAAATTACCTCTACATTAATAACTCATTAAAATTACCATCTTCTATGAGAGGTGCTATGATAAGAATAATTTTGTTATTGTAATTTTTATAATATAAAAATTGTTTTTATTAAGAAAATGTTTTATTGAATTGAAGAATGATCAGCCTTCCTCATATACTGGCTATGGAATAAAGTCTCCTTGCAACACGTTTCAAAATCCTATCGTTTGGGACTGGTATTAGAAATTGTAATGCAGATACATTTATTTTATTATCATATTTTCACACTTCATTATTACTCTTTTACCTTATTCTTGGAAAAAAAAGAATAGGGTAAATCAGGATACCCTGAAAGCGACTGGACGGGACTTATTTATAAAAAACGAACTGGAGGTTGTTTAATAAGGTTAAACTTCCCTCTAACCACGCAGCCCTCCTGGCTAAGGTGTTCCACCTTGGCTTGGGGGATAAGATAGGAGAATGATAGGTGTGTATGATTGTGTAGGGCATATTTGTGAGGATCGGAAAGGAAAGAATACCTCATAATAGGTTTTAGGAGTACCAGAACCCCTTTAGCCTACTGATCCTTTTCGTCTTTGGTCAGACTTACCTACTGACCTTCAAGGACCAGTGTTTCCCAGGGAAACAGGGTTGGGCTTTGCCCCCCTCCCAAATTGTTTAATTTTGTTGAACAGTGACTGCTTTTTTGCAAGCTGCATTTGGCGAAATCAAAAAACTTTTTAGATAGCCTCTCATCCTCCCATGGCCACTGAGTATCTGAGTCATCTTGTTTGTGATAAATGCATGCTGGTTCTCTGCCTAATATCTGGAAAAAATTCTTGGGTAGTATCTTTACCGACACCCTCCACTGGGAATTCTATTCATTATGAGTTAACATAAGAAGTTAGGGTATGCTAGACCTGGGGTACTTTCCTCTGGCAATTGTGTGTTCATTACTACCACTTTAGCTAAGGTATCAGCTCCTTCGTTATGTTCATTTCCTACAAGTGGGATAGTCAACATTTGTAAAATTTAGAATGATGCAAAAGATGTAATAACGTCATAGTTATTTAGGTATCATAACACTAATAGATCAAAATCTATAGAACTAATGGATTGCAAAACACATAAAGATGGTCCTTATTTATTACTGCAGATAAAAGGAGCTCTGATGCCATTGAGATGAGGTAAGTGTACTACTATATGAGTTACATCCTTGTGTTCAAAGGGCATGAGGAGACAGGGCCCCCAGAGATCTTGAAAAGGTGCAGATAAGTCTTAAACCATGACAGCTATAACAATATGACCTACGCCCTTGCACTGTCGAAATTGATGCATCACTGTAGGAAAACTCTGTTTAGTGTTTAGTTTCTTTTTCTATCTTTTGCCACTAAGGTGATCACAACCACAATGACGCATCCATCTTTCTTTAGTGTTCTGTCATGGTCTTAAGGTGTCTATTCCATATTAACATCTGGTCAAGAACTACTACTAGTAGTTCCCTCTTACTTCTTTGGAATGGCAGTTGAACTGTAAGTGGTAATTGATGACTTCCATGTCGACTTTGACCCTACTTGATGCTCATATAGTAATACATTATACTTTTAGCAATGTTAGCACTTAATTGACCAGGTACCATATGGATAGATTCTTCATTCTATGTGTTATTTCTTTTTTTTCTTCTCCAAATGGTAATCTGAACTTTAGTCGCATAATTTATGGACTGTTCTATGCTTTTTCTTATTCTGGCTTTTATCATAAAGGATTACTGTATGTTCATACAGTTGAACTGTAAGTGATAAGTAACCTTGATGTCGACTTTGACCTTAAGAGATCTATTGTGGATAGACCATTCTTGAAATCCATATCTTAAAAATTAATCCTTCCTTCTTTCCCAGTGACATTGCCTAGTTTACATTGCCTTTTCAAAATAGCTATACCTTACCCAACCTCAATGACATGATACACAGTCCGATGTTTCAGCTTCTTTGTGGTTGTTAGAGAGAGAACTCAAGTAATAAATGATAATGGAAAACATTAAAATTGAATGTGAGAGAATACCAATAGTCCAAGAGCACACCTCATTAAACACTACATTTAACATTTGGGGCAATGTAATAGTTGCGGTCAACTGTTTGATCGTGCCCAACAGCATATGGGCAAGCAGCACTTGGAAAAATCATAACCCTCTTTAGATAGTTACCTTCTCAATTAGAGGATCCTCTTTAGATAGATACCTTCTCAATTAGAGGCAGATGAATTCTTGAAATTCTTCAAGGAATCCAACTAAATCTGACTTTCCGTGAGTATGTATACTTTTCCAAGTGCTGTCTGTTGTCCCAGAAGAATGTTCAGAGCCCCACGAATAGCCAATTCTTCATTGATAGTGAAAATACTACCCACCATCTGTAAATATACAAAATTCATATTCCATATATCCTTGAGGACTTACAATCTTTGGAGTGCATGCTGGGTGAAGCCAGCTACTGGGAGTTGACTTCATTCTCCTAAGTAGTGTGGGGACAACTTCTTTGTGTAGAACTCTTTCTCACCTGTGAACCATTGTGAATTTCATTTGGCTACACTTTTGGAACCGCACATAGCTTGGTGGTACTCACCAGAACTCCGCAGCCATTTCTTTGTCCATTGCCGTTCCCTTTGCTCCTAATTCATTCCTCATTCTCTCTGTTCCCGATGTGAGCCTTAACCCATTGAAATGTTACACTCCAATCCTTGTCCCTCAAGAGCCCCAGGCTCCTTTCGATCAGAGGGTTAAGTTTTGGTATCGTTCAACTAAGTATGAGTCTTTTGTCTGTCTTTGTTCTAAGGTGTTGTCCAGCTAAATATGAGTCTTTTACCTCGCTCTGTTCCAGGGTATCATTCAGCTAAGTATAAGCCTTTCGCACTCTTCACTAGTACATTCATAACCATCCAGCTGACTATCTTAATAGTAGCTGTTTTAGGATCCTTCCATTCTCCTTCTTGCTACATAATCCATCATTCAAAGATGACATGTCCAAAAGCTAGGCTTAGTTAATGCTAAACCAATCTGCCATATTTAACCGTATTCTATGCATCTCAACTTCATCCCGCTTGTAAATGATTAAAACCGCCCCAACTTGACTATCTTACAGCCGTCTGTATATATGTGGATACCAAAATTCTCGGGTTACTATGGAGACTGAGCTGGTGGCTGCTGGATGGGGCTGTGGTGATAATTTGTGGTTAACAAGTTACTGACTAGATGCCACCAATGCCTCAAAATTGGTTTCACCTTCCACTCTGCAGCCAATGAGCTTGCAGCAGTTCTGTATAAAAGCAGGGCTCAACCTGCTTATTTCAGATTAGATGATGAGGTCTCAACACTCACTAATGGAGCAAGCCGTCAGCATTAGCTACAAAGACAAGGGAATTCGCAGCATCATCTCTCGCCCTCTCAAAAGTCACGTGGCCGCCCTTCAATCGCTACCGAGTCTACTGACTCCACTGATTACATCGACCAATCTGGTCATCATCAGCCCATGGAATTCGACCATCGGCTCCACTAATAACCCACCTGCACTTCTCATGGCCACCAAAAACCAATGGTAAAAGAGCCACTCCTGGGAGTATTCGTGATCCAAGTTCCTTCCAGGTCAGGTCCGATAAAATTTGCTTAGTAGTTTCTCAGCGATAGTTCTCTCAGTTTTAACTCAATTGGAACCAGCTTGGCAAAGAAACATGCTGCTTAAACGAGATTGTCCTATATCCTCGAATTATACTAAGTACGTGCTTAGTAAGCTATTCTGTGCTGTACACTCCTTGTGTGTCTGTGGGATATAGATGAGTTGAACACATGTTCAAATTAGAATTTACCGTTAACGAGATAGAATTTTAACAAATGCACGAAATCGGGTCGCACGCGCACTTACCGGTAGTTTTTTTTTGCACGAAAAATGGCCCATTTTTTGTAATCATCCTTAAAACGTTAAAAAAATCTGCAATTAACAATTCTTAGCGTTATTAACAATGAACAGAGCGAGGTAAAAGTCTCATATTTAGCTGGACAACACCTTAGAACGAAGACAGCCAATAAATAATCTGGTTGAATTGAAACAGTGATGAGCATATAAAAAATAAAATAAAAATTTATACACGAGAAAGAATATTTCTTCATTCTAAACTCATAGGAATGGGATAGGGATAAAAGAGGCGGCCACAAGGCCTTCTACACTTCGACCTGAGTAGATATTGTGCTCCTTTATTTTTTATAACTCAATGGCCAGTTTCAGGTTGTTAGTCTAGCCTTGCCAGCGGCTGCTTAGTTTGGAGTCTTGCTTGCGGCTTTTCCTCTCCTAGTTGTAAGAATCTGCACCTACATAGACCCTTACAAAAACTCAAAACGTGTTCTCTTCTTCCTGGCAGTATCTGTAAAGTGCTCTTTTGTCTGTACTCCTATCGTGCGTAGCGCCTTCTTGGCAGGTAGGAGTCCAACCAGAATCCTGGTCCAATCTTTTTAAAAAGATAATTCCTACACACAGTTAGTTGTTTTCAACAATACGGATTTCAAGCTTATAGCTCATCGTCAGGTTGAAGGAATAACCTTAAACAACTCTGTGAAACAACTAATCTTTTCAAAAAGACTGAACAACACACTCACTCCACCGTTTATCATTTCTATGAATCCTGGTTCTGTTGCGGTTACTTTCAAGTAATTCATTTGTAAATCTTGCAGATGGCCCTTCCATGAATCTCTTCGCTTGCTTCATGTCTTTTTTTGTGGCAAGGTGCTAGGTCACAGTAGGGTTCGGGGTCGATAGAACATATTGGCTCCTCTTTTGGCCAACAGGACCAGTTTTGCCCACTTTATCATTGCCTCTGAACCCAATGTCCAGTGACCCAGCGAGGGTCATGTCATTGGTGTCATTGACTTCTGCCAATTTTTTGCCTTTACCTCGCATGAGGCTAAGGCCTTAATGCCGATTGATTGTCCGCGAAGATGGCTATCTTCATG